CTATCTGGACATGAATCAACCCACCTTCGTCCCAATTTAACCCTGCCCATCGAAGATCATCATAAAGCCTTTGCTCCGCTCCGGGAATTGTCCGTTTCTGCCCCAATCAGCTGTTGTCCATATAACGGAGCGTAAACCGTCACGAACCTGGTCGGTATCCTCAATGCGCAGGAGGAATTGGCCGCCAGTGCGCTTTGCGAGCAGATAGTTGAACAGCGCAGTCCGCAAAGATCCAAGATGAAGGTATCCGGTAGGAGAGGGCGCGAAACGCGTGCGCGCAGGGCCGTCCGGTAGTTTGTTCTTCGAGTTGCGGGCTTGAGCAGAAGTAGAGCAGCCTCTGCATTGAATGCAAGTCCAGCGACGAGCAAATAGCCCACTGTGAGGCCTCATGGTGTAGAGTCAAGAAGCTATTGCGGTTGCGGAGGAGCGGACTCGGCGCGGAGCTTCCGACAAAATTTCTATTGGAAATTCACTCCGCCTCTTACTTGACCTTCACCCTCGTCTCTCTTTCTTTGTCGGGTTGGAATTCCAGTTTTCTCTTCGTCGAATAAAACTCCGATCGTATTTCCCCGAGAATCGCGGCTTATAAGTACGTTACAAGCTCTTGGATGGTGGTTCGCGCCTGCTAACGAAGTTCACAGTGGCTCCGGCTCAGGTTGACCTCTATGGTATGCAGCCCACGCTAATGCCCAACTAATGCGCAAGCAAGCCAAAACAACTATTAACACGGTCTTGATTCAAACAGAGGTCTTAGAAATTCACGCAACCGCATCTAAGGATGACATCCGGAAGGCATACCGCAAGGTACGACTATGTTCACGCTTCATACATCCCGCCATACTAATACGTTGACAGGCGGCTCTGGCCAATCACCCCGACAAGGTCCCTGAGTCTGAGCGCGAAGAAGCTTCAGCCCGCTTCAAGTCTGTCCAGGAAGCCTACGATATCCTCTACGATGACCAGAAGCGACACCTTTACGATACACACGGCATGGCGGCCTTCAACGGCTCTGGCGAACCTGGGATGGCAGGCGCCCCCGACCTCGATGATATCCTAGCACAAATGTTTGGCGCCAGCATGGGCGGCGGTATGGGCGGTATGCCTGGTATGGGAGGCATGGGAGGTATGCCCGGTGGCCACCCTAACCGACCCCGCAAGAGCCGCAACGAGGAACAGGACTACGAAGTCAGCCTGGAGGATCTATACAAGGGCAAGACGGTTCGATTCACCAGCACCAAGAATGTTATTTGCGGACACTGCAAGGGTAAAGGTGGAAAGGAGAAGGCTACTGCGAAGAAGTGCTCGACTTGTGATGGCCATGGAGCCAAGGAGGTCCTGCAGCAGATGGGTGGTTTCTTGACCCAGCAGACTGTGACCTGTACCACTTGCAAGGGTCAGGGTTCATACTTCAGCCCGAAGGACAAGTGCAAGAAGTGCAAAGGCGAACGGGTCAACGAGGAGAAGAAGATGCTGGAGCTTTACATCCCCCGTGGCACGAAGTATGTCTTACTCTCTTCGGTGATGCAATATGATACTGATCTTACTTTAGACAAGGAGACAAGATTATCCTGGAAGGTGAGACTGACCAGGTGCCCGGACAGGAACCCGGCGACATTATCTTCAAGATTGTCGAGGAAGAGCACCCCGTGTTTGCTCGCGCCGGCTCCGATCTCCAGGCGACGATTGAGGTCACATTGGCTGAAGCCCTGGGGGGCCTTTCGCGCGTCGTGATCAAGCATCTTGATGGCCGCGGCATTGAAATCCACCACCCCCAGATCCCCGGTGAGGTCCTGTCTCCCGGACAGGTTCTCAAGGTTCCCGGAGAGGGTATGCCCCTGAACCGTACCGATGCCCGTGGTGATCTTTACTTGGTCGTCGATGTCAAGTTCCCCGGCTCTGACTGGAAGCCTACTCCGGCGATGCTGGAAAAGCTCAAGGAAATCCTGCCCAAACCCGGAAAGCCTATACCCGCCGAACATGTGGATGAGGTCGAATACGACCCCAAGGCCAACATTGAAGAGTTCGGTGCTAAGGATGGACACGCATGGGAGGACGAGGACGAAGACGGTGAACCGGCGCAATGCGCTACTCAATAGATTTCCTCTTCCGGCATACACGGCGTCTGGGGTTTTGCATTTTAAGAGAGAAGTGAACAATACAGTGCTCTCCAATTCTTTTTAATTGTAATGCATCATGGACCACATCCCATTTGGGGAGTGGATCAGTGTGGAGTGATAGCGTGGGGGTTTATAGATGTAGATGGACGTTCTGTTTAAGGTGTAATCTACTCACTTTATTATTCTATGAACATGTATATAGCACAGCCAGATGTACTGAGAGAATAGAAGCCCAACACCCCATAAAACCAATCTCTTCCATCTAATAGCCCTACTGTCCGGCGTGGGATGCCGTGGGGTTCGGCCCCTGTCACGGCTCTCGGCTTCCACATCGGCTTCCCCGATACTTTCCAACGAGTTTTCCATTCTCTTTAATGTCACTCCAACACCCTCAATAACAAATGCCCAAAGGGCCCGAAGCCACCAGATCCCCTTATAGCACCCTTACACCATCTCTCACTAAGTCCATAAATTTCCCGACATCAAATCCCCGCAAACATGCCGTGCGACACCAAAACCACCTGCGCCGGCTGTTCCTGCGCCAGCACACGCCCACCCCCAAATATTGAAGACTGCGAAGCCGAACTCCTGGCCCTACGCAAGCGCACAGTGGACCTAGAGAAAACCCTAGCAAAACTACAAGACAACCCAACAAAAGCACGACAAGGCCGCAAACTACGCTCAACACGCTGGTTCAATAACGATGAAAACCCGGGCATGACAGCACTATATATCGAACGATACTTGAACTACGGTATCACGCGAGAAGAACTCATGGCCGGGAAACCAGTCATCGGCATCGCGCAGTCCGGCTCTGATATCGTGCCGTGTAATCGGCATCATCTTGAACTGGCGAAGCGCGTGCGTGAGGGGATTCGGAGTGCTGGCGGGATTGCCTTTGAGTTTCCTACGCATCCTATTCAGGAGAGTTCGCGGAGACCGACTGCTAGTCTAGATCGGAATTTGGCTTATTTGGGGTTGGTGGAGATTTTGCATGCTTATCCTTTGGATGGGGTCGTGCTTTTGACTGGGTGTGATAAGACGACGCCGGCTGCCTTGATGGCTGCTGCTACTGTGGTATGTCTCCTTTGGAAATTAATATGTGGTTTATGGTGAAGTTTTGGAGCTAACATGTTGCGATAAGAACATCCCGGCTATTTGTCTGAATGTTGGCCCTATGTTGAATGGTTATTTGAAGAATGACCTGGCAGGATCAGGTATGGTAGTATGGAAAGGGCGAGAGATGTACGCCGCAGGCGAGATGAATCGCGAAGAGTTCATGGACTATGTGGCTCGAGGGTATGTCTCCACCAGCAGAGGAAAGAAACACCCACTAACCCATCTATAGAGCACCATCTGTGGGCCACTGTAATACCATGGGCACAGCATCAACAATGAACGCCTTAGCCGAGGCACTAGGCATGGCTCTCCCCGGTTCAGCAGCAATCCCTGCCCCATACCGAGAGCGCGGCCAATGTGCCTACGAGACCGGCGAGCGTATCGTCGAAATGGTCCACGCAGACCGCAAACCGAGCGATATCATGACACGTGCAGCCTTCGAAAATGTTATAGTAACCAACACCGCCATCGGCGGGAGCACCAATGCACCAATCCATATCAACGCAATGGCCAAACACATCGGTGTGAACCTCTCCCTAGACGACTGGGACCAGATCGGCTTCCACATTCCTTTACTCCTTAACATGCAACCCGCCGGCGAGTTCTTGGGCGAGGAGTATTTCCGCGCAGGAGGATTGCCTGCTATCATGGCTGAGCTCTTAGACGCCGGAAAACTGCACCCAGACGCACTAACCTGCAATGGCAAAACCGTGGAAGAGAACGTGCGCGGACAACATACCTGGAATCGAAAGATTATTCACGCGTATAGCGAGCCTATGATGGTCGATGCTGGATTTGTGCATTTGACAGGCACGTTGTTTAACTCGGCGATTATGAAAACATCTGTGATTTCACCTGCATTCCGACAAAAGTTCCTCGAGAATCCGGATGATCTGAACGCTTTCGAGGGTGCCGTTGTGGTCTTTGATGGTCCGGAGGATTACCATCACCGACTGGACGACCCCGCGACTCCGATTGATGATACAAGTATCCTGGTCATGCGCGGCGCGGGACCATTGGGATACCCGGGTGCAGCAGAGGTGGTGAATATGCATCCTCCAGCACGTCTATTAAAACAGGGAATCACTTCCTTACCGTGTATCGGAGATGGGCGCCAATCGGGTACATCAGGCTCGCCGTCTATTCTGAATGCAAGCCCTGAAGCTGCAGCCGGGGGAAACCTTGCACTGCTTCGCGATGGTGATAGGCTGCGAGTTGATCTGACTAAGCGCCGTGTTGATATCCTGATTGATCACGAAGAATTACAGCGTCGTCGTGAAGCATTGGAGGCTCGGGGTGGGTTTGATATGCCTGAAAGTCAGACACCGTGGCAGGAGATCTTCCGTCGTGAGACTGATCAGCTGAATGAAGGTATGGTTCTGCGCGATGCTGTTAAGTATCAGCGTGTTGCGCAGCAGTGGGAGGAACCGAGGCATAACCATTAAGTTGATGCTCTTGTTTGTGTATAATGATGATATCCATGTCAATAATGTGGGGGATTGTAATATTGATTAATTTATAGATAAAACAGGAAATAATCCTATCATCCTAATAAGAATGGAAAGCGCCTGCGACTAAGTAGTCAGTTCTCCTGCGAGCCATAAATCTGTCCATCCATAGCATAGTGATCACCATCAACGCAACGCGAAATCGCTAGACAATCAATCACCCGATAAAAAAAGCAACAGAAGAAAAGAAAATACACATAAAAATAAAATAAAGCAATCAGTCCTGCTGCTCCGGTTTAGCATCGATTCCAACCACTTAACCAGCGGAATTGGCACAGGTAAAAGGCGTCAGTTTAGTCTCCTTGAAAGCCTTAGTCATAGAATGAACAGAAGCCCAAATCCCCAAACCAGCAGTAGAAAGCGCAGCAAGCGCGTAGATAAGATCAAAAGTGTTCCAGACGAACTTCTTCTTGTAACCTCTCATCCAACGCTGGAACCCACTGTCTAAACGCTGCGCCTGGCCAGTCTGTGGGTTGAATTCTTCTTCGGCGAGGATCGAATCCTTCTGCACATTATATCCCACCAATAGCAGTGGAGGGAAGGTGTATGAGAATTGCAGGATGCAGGCTGCATCTACGAATGAGCCTAGGTAGCTGATTTGTGGGATTGCGGCTGCTATCACCCAGGCGATTATCCAGTATACCGGAACTTTGAGGGGGTTGTTAGATGATGGATGTTCTTGTTTCAGAATCGGGGTACAGAGGAATAACTTACCTAGTACAATCCATAGCCATTTGCCGAGTCGACTGTCCAGTGGTGGAAAATGAAATATGTCACGCTGGACGCTGGAGTAAAGGACCTTGATACCGATGTTACCGTACAAGATTGCTGCGATTGCATTAGTCAAGAAGGAGATGGCGTTGCCCACGGTCTGATATTTGTAGGCCGAGTCCGGGATACCTTGAACGAGGTTAGAGTCGAGCAGGCTTGGATGCAAATCATGGATATGGCAGACTTACCCTGGTAGGCAGGGTTGAAGGTGAATTGACCCTGAGCACGATAAACAACCATGCCGACGATGATGTAGCAGGAATAGATAAAAGCCTCGGCAATGATGAAACCTTTCCAGAAATCATAAGGTCGTCTCATCTCCGCCATGAGTTCGTTGAACAAAGTTGCGCCTCCGTATGAGAAGACCGCGTTCATGAGGGCGTTGATCTTGTCATGCAGAGCCGAGTCTGATGGCCAGTACCCGCTTGTCTCGATGGGACCCTTGGGGGTTCTGTAGCTAGTCAACGAGGCTGAATAGTTCGGCGGGTATTGGTGAACCACGGCCATGGTCAGGATGACGACGACTATATTCAACCAAAGAGCAATGGTGGCTAGGAACGAAAGACGTTGCAAGGTGCGGATCTGACCAAGCACAAGCCCAATGACCATGAAGATGATCTGAGCAACAATAAAGCACAGGAAACCCTTTTGGTTGGCGCCAGCGGCCATCTGTGCCAATCCTTGTCCGTTAGTTTCAATGAGCAACGTAACGTTCATCAGAAATTGGAAACTCTGCAAGACGTTAACGAATATACGTGCCCAGCTTCCATAGACACGGAATGCTACATCGCCGTAGTTGCGCATCGGGAACCGAGTCGAGTCGAGGCCGACGAACATCTTCCATAGTTGGAGACCGGAGTAACAAGACATGGCCCCAAAGACGGTATACAGCACAACGCCAGGTCCATATCCCATCTTGCTGAAGGCCCATGGGACACTGTTTGGCCCGAGGAGGTCCGTGGCAATCAGATAAAAGATCGAGCCCCAGGATGCAGTTCGCACAGCTCGCTGGGCATGCTCCCACTCTGACTCGGTGATTCCCCAGCTGTCGGTTGCATCGGCGGTGTTGGTTTCGCCTGTTGGTGGGAGGTCGCTCTTCTTCTCGGTGGCGTCGGTCATGGCGGGCACTTCCTGCGATTGAGTCGGCGCGGGTGCAATTTTCTTCCCCAGAAGCATATTGCCCAGACTTGCGAAGCCTGCATCGGCGGTTGGGAAGCTCTCTCTACCTCGCGAGATCTCTTGGCCCAGTAGGCATGGTTCTCAAAAGTGATGCTGGAATCCAGGTAGATTGTCCCATTGCCATGCAGGACGGAAGGTGGAACCTCGTGAGACACGGAAGTTGTCTGTTCTTGCTTGGGGGTTATAACCTCTGCTTCGTCGATGCGAGCATCGGCGAGGCCCAGGTTGGTGATGGAGATATTGCCAGCCATGATGAACTTGCAACAGTTAAGCCAGGCAGGGGAGATATAATCCACCAAGAAGAAGTGAAGAGGGAAGAAAGGAAATGCAGAAGGCTCGATGAAACCTTCAAATATGAGAGACCAGGCAAACACAACATCGCGTGCTTTCACCCAGGGCCATTACGTCCATCTCCAATGAGCAACAACAGGCCCCATGTTTCACCAAGATTTGTACAACATCAACTGGAAGATTCAATTCATCCATATGCAGGAACCATTTGGATCGGAGTTTCGTCGCTATCTCCTGACCTCGAGGTCCCAGGGCAGCCGAGGGTTGAGCCTTGGTCGCAGTCTGTGGTGACCGAGTCAAGCATCATACTCTTCTCTTTTGAGCCATTCACAGTGAATCGTTCCATCTGCAGCAAATCAGGACTTTGACGGCTTTATCTGTGAATCGCTGGGTCTCTCCTACTGTGCCTGTCTAGATCCATTCCTGTCCATTCCAAGCTGGAGTGTCGAAACCATCCAAACCATGGAAGTATATGATGTATTTGTGTTTATATCGAGCTAAACTTGTAAAGTGCAGAGGTACTGAAGTTGTTGAAGTTGATATAGGCTTGTGGCTTTTGAGTATCAACATTTCGTAATTTCGGAGAGACTTCCGAGCTTCATCTCCAATCGCATCAAAATATCTATCTAAGATACCATAAAGGGTGATTTACTAAAAGACCAGGGCGGAAATATAATAATTAACGAAATAAAGCATCTAAAGCCTCGGAGCATAGTGCTCAACGGCGCGCTCATAACCCTCAATCTATGTATCTACATCTATATACATCAACCTGTGTACGACCACAAATCTCACGCTCGATCTAAGAAATCCGCAATGCGATGATACATCTCCACAGGATTCGAATACATAGGGAAATGCCCACAACCGACAATATCCGCCAACTCAACACCCTCCCTCTCCAACAACGGCAAATAAGACAACCCACGCATCTCCTCACCAAACATAAACATACGCGGACAAGGTAAAGCCAAAAACTTATCTATCAAATCCGCATGATCCGTCAACTCAACCATAGACTCAAAAATAGGCCGAACAGCAGCGGTGCGAACACGATGGCGCAGCGTACTAGCATACATAGCACTACCAAAAGCACCAGACGTACGCGTGCGCTCAATAAAAGCATTTATGAATGCCTCCGGATCATCAGCGGGGAATTGGAAGATCTGGCGACTGAGGAAGCAATCCTCGGGCGCGAGATTGCCCTTGATATTCACGAAGCTGAGGACGCGGTCTGGGTGGCGGCTTGCAAGGAGGAGAGCTGTGAGACCGCCCATTGAGTGGCCCATTAGGTGGAATTTGGTGATTTTGAAGTGGTCCAGGACTGCTTCTGCGGTCGCGATCAAGAAAGGGATGTCGGTGGCGGCGAGGTTGTCGCTTTCTGTGTGGCCACATCCTGGCGCATCGTATGCGATGTAGCCATGCTGCTTTAGTGCTGGTTGCAGGGATAGATCTGCAAGGTCTTCTTTGCTCGAGCCAAAGCCGTGGAGGAAGAGAATTGGGTTGGGCTTGAGGTTGTGGATTGTTGAAAGGTGAAGGTTGACTCCTTCGACTTGGAGGGGGAGCTCTTCAAATGTGACTGGCATGATGAGTATATATGTGATGAGTATATATGTTTAACAATTATTCTACATTGACCTCTTTATATTCGTAAAAGGTTTGTGTTGATTATGAAGACTCGGTCAAAGATTCGGCAAAATGTCATGTCGCCGCAATTTACTCAGCAAAGTCATCGCCACCCATATGGCAACATCGAACAAACTTCAATTAGTATTACTTAACGATACCACTTAGTTTCAGATCTTGTACACTTAAAATCCCTCCAGCTTGTACAACGGCTCCAACTTCGCCGGCCGGAACAAAATGTACCGCTGAACAAACCAGGGCAGCCATGTTCCAACTTGATAGCGGGCATGTCGGTGGATGGGTACACCAAAGGTATAGTCGAGCTCTTCAAGAGTACGTTGCCTATGAAATGTTAGATAGGAGATATTGATACCCGGAGAACAACTTACATTGTCTCTGGCACGATAAAGAAAATAAGAACGAAGGCAAGCATATTCAAGCCAGCGTAGAATCCAAATGCTGTACCGTTCACGTCAGCTATATCCACTTTAGACCTGTGGAAGAAACTCACCTCCAGTTGCAGTCATCTTTGCCAAAATTGATGGGAATGAGAGACTAAGAACACTCCCAACGATATTGTTCACACAAATGGTAAAGGCTGCGCCAAGCTCTCGATGAGACAAGGGGAATGCTTCGCTGAAGTAAATAGACGGGATAGGTCCAATACCTGGTCGGTCAGTAAAGTCAATCACACCTGCAAAGAGTCGATAGCACATACCAGGACCATAGAAAGCACCAAACAGATAAATAAAGAGTGCAATCAAAGGCACACGAGCAGGAGACCCCTCTGGAAGCAAGAAGCAACATCCAGCCGCAAGAAGACACCACGCCATATTAGGGAACGTAAACAGCAACAGATTCCGTCGACCGAACGTGTCCATGGTATAAACAGCAGGAATGGCAAAGATGAACATCGTTAGTCCGAATCCTAGGGATGCCAGGAGACAATCCCGAGGCGAGTATCCCGCTTCAGAGAAGATAGTACTTGAGTAAAAGGCCATTGCGTTGATTCCGGAGAATTGCTGTGCTATGACGATGAGTGCGCTTGAGATCATTGCTCGGCGGAGACGGGGGACTGCGAATAGTTCCCAGACTCGTGAGGCGAGTGAGATGCCTGAGAATGCATCGCGCTCGGTCATGACTTGGCAATGGGCGTAGTACTAAGTCGAAGTTAGTTTAAGATATTTGTCAAAGGTCTTGAGAATATAAACGTACCAATTCTCTTGCAGCAATAAGCTCTGTATTGCGGAGCCGACAGAATGATTTGAAAGCTTCTTGGTAGCGGTGTTTCTTCATGAGCCATCTTGGGGATTCTGGAGTTATACTGTTAGGCTTATTATACTTAGAAACCGAAGATCAATCTTACCAGGGCAGAACCAGACGAATATGAGGACTGGCACAGCTGGAGCAAAAGCAGCAGCTAATTGAAATCGCCAGGCAAGGGTTCCAACCCGGAAGAAGATAAGATTCGAACAGAAGCCACTATTAGGGTTAGAAAAGTCACATAAGATGTATCGGGAAAAAAAGACTTACACGAAGATACCGAATGCCACCCATAACTGGAAGGAAGTGACCAAACCACCTCGGATAGATGCAGGACTGATTTCTGCGCTGAAAACTGGGATAGTTGAGATTTTGACACCCATTCCTATGACAGTAGTCAGTTTCAGCTCAGGTTAGGTTTTTGGCGTATCAGTCAATTCCATACCGAGTCCCATGAAAAGCCGGCAAATCAATAAGCCCCACCAATTTTGGGTGAATGCCTGTGCCAGGACTGGGAAGACACAACTATAGCAATTGTTAGTTTTGTTTTTTGTGGTGGCACAGGTTGTACATACAATAGTCCAGTCAAGAAGATTGTGCCCCGTCGACCTAGCCAGTTGTTCAGGGGATCCGCTGCCCATGCACTACAATTTGTCAGAACAGAACGTTCACTTGAAGGATAGTGTTCATATTTACCTCAGAAGGCCGAAGAGAGTAGGTCTAAAGATGTTCAATTAGAAAGGTTACCTCGAGAATGATAAGTAATACATACCCTGCATTGATAACACCAACCAACCACGTATTGTCCTCGATGCCGAACTCCTTGGGAAAGGAAAGGTTGGCACCGTTTGCTCCAGTGTTATCCCATCCTCTAAACACCAAGTTAGATAAAGTCACCCCGAAACACATTGTAACTTACTGAATGGCCGAGCCCAGAGAGCACAAGCCAATGCTGAAGTATAGAGCTCTGGGAAGATGCCATTTATCTGCCCACGTCAGAATCTCCAAATCAACCCAATATCAAAGATGACATACGTGTAGTCTCCCGGCGCAAATAATACTTATCATCATCCGTCAATTCAGAAAGCTCTTCAAATTCCTTGGGCCGCTGAGCAACAAGAGCCCCCTTCTGGAACGTCTCAACATGTTCCTCGAACCCATACTCCTGACAGAATCGCAGCACCCGATCATAAAGATCATCTTTGGTAATCCCAGACAACGGATTATAAATCCTATAAAATAAAAAGATCAGCAGTGACCAACACACTCGATCCACCCAATCCACCTAACACGCACCTTGCATTCACATTGCGACTATAATCCCCCAAATGCGGAACCTGCGACTCAGCATCCTCAACAAACACCTCCCTAGGCTTCAAATCATCATCCAAGCTGTGCTTCGACATGATGTAACTTGTAGCAACCAAAGTATATAAAGTAAATGTGGGTACTTTGTTATCTCTTCTCCCTTGCACAAAAGTCCCTGTAAGCCCTCTATATATACCCCAACCACCCTATCCGACCCCATTCCACCTGTCAAATCGACGATGTTCCCCATGGGGGAAACTTAAACCTCAAAGAAATCCGGGGTACACTAACGCGCCCATCGGACCAATGACCGCGTCCATCCCCCGCTCCCGCATATGTGGCGATCGTCACCACTTGCTCTGCCCTGCGTGTGCCATCGGTTACTATGCTGAGAGGGGGTTGGACTGCCCTGTGTGCGACCATGTTTGGGTGGTCCTATCAGAGTCTCTGGTATGTGTGTCCTGTGTGTGTATTGCCTCGGGAATGTGGCGGGCTGGGAACGCCCTGCGTGGGTGTGCGGGTCGGGAGGCGCTTTGGATTTGAGTTCCGCGTATTACATTGTGCGGTTTATCGGTGGAACTTCGGAGAGGGGTGGTTGCCCTGTGTGTGTCGCTGCGAGATGCTTCGTGTCTTTTGTTGTTGGGATGTTTGGTCGAGCGGGGTTGGTTGGTTGGATTCGGTTGTTGTAGTTTGTATATATTGCTGCTTCGTTCGTTGGTTTGTTTCTACTATCATCGAAGAATTATTGATTCATTTACCTTGATTCTCTGTTCTTAATCACTTGGTTAAAAGCAGTTACAAGTCTTCTCAAAATGGGTAGCGCCGGTACACAGACATGGCTCGATAAGTTGTCGGAGCAATGTAAGCAAAATGGCTATACGTGGACATTCAGCAGGTCATCTAACACATCGCAGTAAATGTGGACGTCGACTGGATGGACCCGGCATACACTCTGAGTATGCCAATCAAACCCCACGACATGACCAGCAACCAGGGATGGGTCCACGAGCAAATGTGCAACCCAGTCAATGAAGAACTATTCAAAAGCGTGGTTAAGGAATACAAGGACAAGGGCTGGCTGGCTATTTACACGCGCATGGTACAGTCACACCACGACAAAGAAACAAAAAACAACACTAAACCAAATACTTCTATAGGCGGTCTTGATGTCAAAGGCAAACATCGACAACATCCAAGGCCGGGTTCTCCTCCAGACTCTCCCTTCTAATGCCTACAACCACGAATTGACCCTCGAGCATGCTCGTGCTTATGCCCGTGAGTTCGAGAGTGTGGGTATCTCGAAGGATCGCTTCTGCATTAAGATCCCCAGTACGGGTCCTGCATTGAGTACCTGCCCGATCCTGTTGAAGGAGGGTATTCGGACGCTGGGAACTGCGCTTTTCAGTGTTCACCAGGCTATTGCGGCTAGTCAGGGCGGATGTCTGTATATCAGCCCATACTATAATGGTAAGGGGATCCGGATCGGCACTTCTTCGCTTCCAGTTGTTAACGGGTGCTCGTACAGAGGTTCGCGCACACGATGAGCGAGAGCTCTGGCCCAAGTCAGACGATCCGGCACTGCTGCATCCGATGTCGTCGCGTCTTGTTCAGATTCTTGAGACGTATAAGCGTCTCTACAAGGAGACTGGCAAAGAGCAGCCGTTTCTCAAGAATGCCAGGTAAGTCCATGCGGATAACCGAATTGCAAAATGTGATGAAGCCGGACTAACAATGTCACCAGTTTCATCTCGCCACAGGAGGCAATGGCGGCTGGTGAACTTGGCTGTCACTCTGCTACCATTTCTCACATGGTGTTGACTGAACTCGCCAACCTCCCGTACGATGGCGATAAGCAGCCTGGAGAAGGTGTGCCCATGCCAGCTCATCCGTACTTGAATGCTCTGCCGACACCAGCCCGTCTTGCAAAGATTGCAAAGATCGACGCTCTTGCAAACCCAGATTGGGATGGAAAATTGGCAAGCACTGACATTGATTATCTTGCCAATAAAGGTGCTGAGCTGGACAAGGCGAATGAAGCCGATGCAGTTACCAAGAAGCGTCTTCGTGAAGCCCTGGCTTTGTTTGTCGCTGCCGAGAAGAGAAGCCAGGCAAAGATTGAGGAAGCCATGAAGGTTGTCTGATTCTTCGAAGTGTCGCTTTTCAATTCGGTGCTTAGCACATGGTTGCAGAAGGATTTTCTAGGTCGTTGCCTGCAATTTGTCCCATGGGTATAGATAGACTTTTCAGATCTGAGCTGAATGAAATTGTTGACTGCTGCATTTGATCCATGGTAGTCCGGCGGGCCTCTTCTGGCAATACGTTCAGACTTAGATGCTGCAAGGGCCAAATAGTCGTCTCCGGGCTTTCGTAATGCACGCCATCGTCTCTAGGTGGTGTATCATTGAGCATCCCCACCTGTTGGGTCCAGAATAACGCCGAGTTGTCAACAAGATGCGATGGCCCAATGTCACGACTTGGGTCCACATCTTCTGGAGGTGTAGTGGTTGAGATAATCTGGTGCTGGTTCCATAGAAGACCCGCATCATCGGCGATATTTGAAGGAATGGAAAGCTGATGTGAAACTTTAGGTGGGCGGTCCCACGCCCATTCCGGTAGATCTACTACGCCCACACCCGTTTCCAAAGTAGACGAGACCTCAGGGTCAGGCCCGTGGGGCATGCTCATACCACCAGGGAAAACGGGAGCTGATACCTGCGGCACAGTAGAGGGAGGCTGGCCTAGTCGATCGCTTGCCAACGGAGAACCACCCAAATGCTCAGAGGCTACCGGTTGTTGCTCGCTGGAGTCATGGTCTCCAGCCAGAGGATCGACAACTAAAAGCTTACTCCCCAGCATCCCTAACACAGCGGGATCTACCGGCCTAGCTTGGCGCGGGATGCAAGTGCCAGGATGACAAAGGGCTCGAAGGCCGTTAACCTCTCGCAGAAGATCGTCGCGCTCGGTCATCAAGGATTGCAGTGCCTGCGTGACTTGAAGATACCTAGCTTGTTGGGCACGATGATAGGTAATGCTCGCATCAACAATAGCGTGCTTGGAGGGACGCGGCTCTGGCTTAAGTGTTGGAAGCAACTCAGTCAACTCCTGTGTTGGTTAATTAGCTATATTCCAGCTAGCAAGGATCATGTGAGCCACCAACCGTAAGGCTTTCACTAAAGGCTTCCCGACGCGACTTCTCGAAGTCTCGGTGGACAGCTCGGTCTTCGGCAGTCCAGTTCCGGATGCGCTTCTTCTTTGTTTTCTGAGACATTGCTGATGAATGGGGATCTATAGATGATGTTGGGTTCATTTTGGGGGGAGTGGTCGGAGGAGGGTCGATCCGGGGAAGTGGGGGTCGGGTACTAAGCCGACTTGACTCCAGGGCTACATGTACTCCGACTTTGCCTTGGTCGGAGATGTTGATATTTAATTGATGATCGGGTTTGCTTGGATGTGAAAATTGTAGGAAGCCTTTTTGGTCCTAGTCACGAACGTACCACATTGGCAGTAGCCCTGTACAGGGCTGCTCACATGACCCGTGCGGAGTATGTGTTGATCTCCACTCAAAAACCACAGATGTCATTTCAACTTTATTCACCAGTGCGTTCCATTCATTTGACAAGTTGCTTTGTCAGGAAAAAAAAGTATAAGTCATGCGATATAAACCACGCCAGATAATACAACAGGGGTCATAAATGTGTATACAGTGCCACCGATGAAATTTTGGACAAGTACACGAAAGGCTCGAAGCGAGTATATCGTTCCATGCATTGTTTTCGCTCTACTTTGGCTTCTCTTTTTTCGCCTCTTTTTTGTCCATTTCTGAGTGCCTCGGGTTAATCATGTAGATTGTATAACAGTGGGAGTGTGAAAGGACTTATGGCTTATGACTGTATGCATAACTGAACTTCGGCATTGAAGAACTAATTGAGAATCTTAAATCGGCTTTCATTAAGGAGAGTGTATGATATATACAATATACATGTGGTTTCATTTCAGATCATCCATATTAGATTTCCTTCGCGCTCCAAAGTTGTTCTCATATTTAGGGGAGAGCAGCGGGAGCGTAGCTCTGGTCAGGCTTGACAACATTGCCGCCCTCCACCTGCTTGTCGGTGTAGGCAGGCCAGATGATCTGGCGGGCCTTGTTGTCGACAACGGAAAAGGTGGTGAAGCCATTGCCCTCACCGAACTGGCCGCTCCAGCCGGAGGTGACGGTGTACCCACCGCAGGTGACAGGGCCACCATTGGCATGAGAGGCAGTGTTGCCCTTCACAACGTAGTTGCAAGGGGTAGCAGCGCCGGCGCCGGGGTAGATGCCGAAGTTCCATGTGCAGGAAGTGTTCTCGGCGTTGCAGGTGCGCTTCATGTTCTCAATGGTCCATTGGGGACCGGCGGCCATCATGGAAACGCTGGCAGTAGGGGCGGCCATGATAGAAGAGGCGAAGAGGCCGGTAGCGATGAAGAGCTGAGTGAGCTGCATGGTTGTGGTTGTGGGGGATATCGGAGGAACCGAAAGGTATAATGTTTGAAGTATGAGGGGATGTGTGGATGAGAGTAGTAAAAAAGATATCGATGGACGGAATAAAGGAGGGTATTTAAGTCTTTTCTCGATCCCATTTACCCTCCATCATGCCACTAGAGCGAAGGCCAGAGCATGATTCATCGAAGTCATTGGGATTTCTCATAGCTTCTCCGCTATGCCTGGAAATAGATTTTGCCTACTACCGTATATCAGCCGATGTAACAATACAATTCAGACACGCAAGAAATACTCCACCATTTGCTTGCTAGTGCTGTCTTACATATGTATGAGTGAGACACCTTGGGAGCCTGAAGACAATCACCACTCTACGGGGCAACTTCCAAGGTGAATATGATGCATAATGTAAGACATCTACGAGACACATCCAATCACATCGGATGAGCCGCAGGGCGTACCCCGCGTATGCACCCACCTGGAGCCACATGTTGCCGATCGCATACCGGGTTGTCAGGCTGTTAGGTGCAGACCCTGAATGACGCTGGTCAGATTGAGTCCGGTTTCTCGATCGATCAGCTTGCCTAAGGCCCCCAGGGTGTCCCTGTGACTTCGGAAGGTATACGGGGCGCAGCTTGCAGGAATCCCTATCACAAAGAACTCTTAGTTCACGTGCAAAACCTAATACTCAGACATCCCCCGAGGATATGGAGAAAATAGAGTGAATCCAACTTGTTCGCTTCGAGTGGCAATGTGGAGTTCGGTTGTCCCGGGAGCCGAGCACTAAGTATCCGAAGCGGAGATGTTGTCGTCAGTATTGTTACTATTTTTATACTCAGTTGCAAGTTTCGATTTGATTAAACAAGGTAATTATGATGGACTTCACCCCGTTTGTTTATTAAGTTACTCTGTGGTGCCTGTAGATAACATCAAAAGCGCCTGTGTCAGGCGCGGCAATCCAGGGCGCTTTAAACTTAGTCTCTCCCCTTTAACGAACGCCTAGAAAAAAGAAGACTAGTAGTCTAATATGCCCCGAAGCTGGCGGCGGCTGGGAGCCTTCTCGAACATTCCGACATGGGAAACAAAACAGCGTACCTTCGCTAGTTCATTCCCAACAGATTAGCAAGAGCTGACTCGCCGTTAGTAGCCGCAGACACTTATTGGCATTGTCCAATGAGTCAAAGTCACTGACTTTACATTTGTAGGACATGACCGCATTTGTATACAGGGGGAAGATCGCTCAATCGGAACGAGCTCGAGCGAAGCTCTCGCCATGTCATGTTTGACTTCCCAGCACTGTGTGAGCGGGCTATTCGCGCCTGTCCACGAGCCACCAAGGTCGTCAGATATGAGAAGCGAGAAGGTGGATTCAACAGAGTGTCCCTTTTAACAATGGACAATGGACAATGGACCTTGTGTTATGGCAAGAATACCTCCCAGTATTGCTGGCCCATCTAGGCTACCGACCAACCTTGAAGTTGCAACGATGACTTATTGTAAGGCCAAACCGCATACTTCTGTCCTTGGTGACGTGGCGGGCTGTTTATGTCTAATAGTGCAGTCCAAGATCTCGCTTCCGATACTGAAAATTCCCGACTGGCGTGATGATCCTTCCAACCCAACTAGAACAGAGTATATCATTCAAGACCATGTGGCGGGTGTGCAACTACACCTAGAGTGGCCCAAAATGACGCCGGAACAACCTATGCTGTGCACCAAAGTGCTCTCATTGACAATGAAGAAGATGCTTCTCTAGATTTTCCGGCCTACAGAATTTTATAGTTTGCCATTTGATGCTAGATAGGAACCACGGATAGATCGCAAAAAGTCAGCTGGGTACTGTCTCGATCATGTTGAGTCAATTTATGGATTCCGCGAGTGAGGCTGGCATTTTTCCACTTGGGCCTACTAGCGAAGGACTAGCGTTAAGTGCATATCGTAATACCACTGAGCCGAACTTAGTCGTTAGAGCGACATTAGGCAATTCTTAGCCAGTTAAACCCACTAACGCTGATAGTATCATGCACTAGGAATAGTTGCTCCGCGCTTACAGTATATGAACCTCTCCTTTCCAGACACTGTCTATCAAAACAGGTCCGAGTCATATTTCGTAATCTCATTCCGACTGTTTAGAATGGCTAAGCGGATACCAGCAGCTATAATATGACTAGGTCGTTCCTCCCAGCAGGGTGCGTGCCGGATGCATTCTTTGTATCCCGGAATAGTGAACACTAGTAAGTTCTTTGATTCAGAATGCTATCTTATTTGTTATCGAACTTCAAGGATTAGCCGCATAACAAAGAGATGCGTTTGCGTGTACTGGCATACCATTCTTTGTCTAGACCCTGGCTTGGGATTCTTTAAAACAAGCCTGTAACGCGACTTTTTTTCTACAGACACCTCTTTTGCGAAATATTGTGTGTTGCTACTGATCTTGTAGTATTTTGACTCGAGATTATTGGAAAGCCACACACTGGCGTTAATGGAACCGGAGTAATATCAACAGGCAACGATGGGCTCTGACTCGCCCACAACGAGCGAGCTACCACGGCATTGTAAGCCAAGAATCTACACTTTATTAAGTCATCGTACTGACGTTGATCAGTTGAGGAACTTGTATTGTCATCGGACAAAACAACAGAGGGGTCCGAACTGGTGTATCCTCCGTCACCGGAGACTAAGAGCTGTAGGACCCTTAACCTACCCTGCTTCCTTCTGAGCACACATTCGGCAAATGAGGACTTCTATGGGCGCGAAGATATCTTAGAGCGTCTTGCGGCGGAGCTGCTGCCTTCGAAAAACACATCCGGTTCTGGTCTACGGCAATTTGCCCTCTGTGGGCTCGGGGGAATTGGAAAGACGGAAATAGCTCGCGAGTTCTCTCGACGCTACAAGGACTCCTATGATGCAGTATTTTGGGTAGTGGCAGATGGAATTGCGAAGCTTGACCATCACTACCAGCAAATTTCGCTGGCACTAACACTCGAAGATCAATCCGAGTGCAAGAGCCAGGTTATCAGCAGGGAACTTGTGAAAAGATGGCTCTCCAACCCTCAAACGCATCTATCAGGGACGGGTGAGCTTGTCAATCCTGGCCAAACCAGTTCAGAAGCAACCTGGCTGCTTATTCTGGACAACGCGGATGACCCGATGATTCTGGCAAACTACTGGCCTCAAGGAAGTGGATCTGTTCTTGTCACTAGCCGCGACCCGTTGGCTAAAAGCATGTTTACGAGTAGAACTTCAGGCCTGGATCTGGGTCCGCTTTCACAGGAAGACAGCCTGTCCCTCTTCAAGTATCTCACTGTGAATGAGCCAGAAGACGATACAGCACGACAGATCTCCAATGTGCTTGGGGGCTTTCCGCTTGCCATCTCCCAAATGGCGGCTATCCTTCGTCGGCGGGACCTTACTTTGTCACAGTTTCTGTATCTAGATCATCCAGAGTTTCTATATCAAGATTACGAAGAGCATGCCAGCCTTTACGGGACAAAGTTTGATACCAACTTGTTATCATATTCTCACTCCCTTTCCACTGTCTGGGCAGTTGAAAACCTGAGACCTAAGACTCGGCGACTTTTGGAGCTGATCTCATTCCTTGACCCAGACGCCATCGGGGATGATTTCTTAATGGAAGCATCAGTGAAATTTCTCGCCGACGGCGAATTTAAGAGGCTCTATTACGGCGGTGCTCGAGGTGATCTCTTGCGGTTATCTCTCATTCAAAAGGACAAGCGAAATCGGCAGATATCAATTCATCGCCTTGTACAAGATCTAATATTGGCGACCATGGATGTTGAGACGAAACAACTTAGATTCGACCAGGTTGTACAACTTCTCTGGAAGAACTGGCCATCTGCTTTGCCCAAGCCATCAAAGGAGCCGGAGCTGTCTCAGCCCATGTCAAGTGGCAACAGACTATGTGTTATAAGATGGTCTGTCTGTGCAGGCCTTTATCCTCACATCCTAAGAATACATCAGCTCTGGCCGAACATTTCACATCCATCTGAGGCCACCAGGATACTCTTTGCAACGTTACTTAATGAGGCTGCATGGTGCGTATATCATGCTCAGACCCTTTTGTTGCTATATGTTCTAATGTCATCAGGTATCAAAAGGAGCGTGGACGAACAAGGCAATTCGACGGCGTTTTTGAAACTGCCCGCAGCATCTGCGAATCCTTAACACATGCAGATCGAGATTCCCTCCTTGCAGACATCTACTTCCGCTTAGGAGCCATCGCCATGGGTGCGAGCGAGTTCCATTCAAGCCGCATCTACAAGGAGCGTTCTTTTGACCTAGTTTACAAAATATGCACAGAGTTAGGAACAACAGACGAAAGAATTTACCTCGCCTATGCAGAGCGAGGGTAACACGCTTCTTTTGGAAAGTTTGGCGTCAAGAGAGGCGGCCTTGGATAAGAATGATACAGAATCCTTGCCGACTGGACAGATTCTGAGTGTGCTTGGTAACCTCTACGCTGCGAAAGGTCAATGGGGTGAGAGTTTTGAGTATCATCAGAGAGCATGGCACCAGATGCGTGGGACATTGCGTGACAGGGATTTCTATATTGCGAATGGCAATCATAAGGCTGCCGAGCACTTGATCCGCTTAGGACGCAATGAAGAGGCGATGTAAGTGCTTGTTCTTTTTGAAGTGACAGCTAAGCATATCTCTGACAACCTTTCATAGTGAAATGATCAACGAGGCGTTGGATATCTGGTCTGTTGACCCAAGTGCACACAAGAATAAGATTGCTCGCACTACTTTCCTCAAAGGCAAGTTGTTGGAATCAATGGGCAAGACACAAGAGTCTTCCATTGCGAACAGGGTTGCCGGTAGCCTGAGGGAGAAGATTACCAAGGACGATCGAGATGTGGAGAGCTTAACGATGGAGGACTTTCATGGGATTGTCGCTTTCTGGGCTCGTTGACCAACCTTCTTTATATACAGGAGGACAATCTAGCAAATTTCAAAAGCGTACCGGTTATTTCTGTTTGGTCAATGGTTAGGCAAGATATTGATGATTAATATTGTATTTCTGCCATCGAAGGATGAAGTTTAGGCGTAATACTTATAGAGGGCCCGATAGCGCTCTGAAAATAGGCATAAAGTGTAAGGGCCTATATTATAATTCCCGAGCCTTGAATCTTTAGTCTGAAGCCTTGTTACCTGTTCGCTTCATTTCTGTAAATAAAATACAGAATATCAGGGCCCGACGTTGAGCGGATAGGCCGGTTCGCCCACCGTTCATTTTAATCTGCTTACGCCCCACTGGACTATATTTCAGTTGCTGCAACCGTCACACCTCAACCAAAACCGCTCCACCATTAGGATACTATATCAAGCCCATTGGATAGAGCGAGCCAACGGGAATGGCATGGAAATAGAGTACCGAATGTCCGTGGAACATGAATTATAGCGAATTGGCGCTTATTGGCCATGTAAACACCCTGCGTTAGGCCATGAATACCTGCCAATAGGATCGATATTGGAACATTTCGTCATGATTAATAATCTCAGCCGGGTAGCATATAAAACGACAAGTGTGAGGCCTCCTCTGTCAATATATCGGTATACTCAATTCTTCGCCAGTTCGAAAGTAATAAGACGCCTGAAGTTATTATGCACGGTTTAAGTCTCGTATCTACTCGGAAAATCCTTTCGGGGTACGACATTCCCATGCTGGGATACGGGGTAGGTGGTTAGATTCGCAATGATGTCAGAGAGAACAAGAGCTAACTTAATTTCACAGCTTTATCAAGTGTAAGTCATAGAAGGGATTTACGGGTATATTAGATTGAACTGCTGACGACTTTAGACCCGTTGAGGTCGCCGAAGACGTTACCGTCAAGGCGTTGAAAGCCGGGTATCGCCACGTAAGGCGGAAGTCCTTCGCGTCAGATTCTAGCTGCTAAAATCGCCTTTCTCTAGATTGATTCCGCGGCCGTGTATAGAAATGAGAGGGAGAGTGTCTCTGCCGTAGAAAAGGCGGGACTCAAACGTTCGGATGTGTTCCTGACAACAAAAGTTTCGCCGCGAGCTACCGGATATGAGGCAGCAAAAGAGTCTATTAGAGGAAGCTTAGAGAAAGCTAAAACGGATTATTTTGACTTGTAAGCAACCTTACATCTTGAGTATATCAATAGTGGACTAATTAGAACAGGATACTTCTTCATGCTCCGTTTGGAGCCAAAGAGGGCCGTCTCGGTGCCTGGCGTGCCTTGGTGGAAGCCCAGAAAACAGGAAAGGCCCGTTCAATCGGCGTGTCCAACTTTGGAGTTCATCACCTGGAAGAGTTGGAAGAATACATCCAAAGTGGTGGAGGGGGTAGGATCGAAGTTGGCCAGTACGAACTCCATCCTTGGCTCGCGCGTGCCGATTTGGTAGACTGGCTTCACAAGCGTGGTGCAGTTGTCGAGGCATATTCCCCTCTTGCTAGGGGAACTCGAATGAATGAGCCCACCATCCAGGCAATTAGCAAGAAACACAAGAAGACCCCGGCTCAAATTTTGATACGCTGGAGCCTCCAGAAGGTTAGTCCTAAACGTATGGAGACTTTTGTGCGAGGTGGTCTAGCTAACGTCAAACTATTTTTACAGGGCTTTGTGCCACTGCCCAAGTCGGCTACCCCCGAACGTATCAAGGAGAACACGGATGTATTTGACTTTGAGTTGGATGAGCATGACATGAAGCTCCTACATACCGAGGAATATTCGCCCTGCGCTTGGGATCCCACTACCCAGCGGGACTAAAGCCCTTGATCAAAAAGCTCCAGCACGTGCAGTAATAGTTGACTTTTCATTCTTTGAATCAATTTATTGTTAAACCAGGGAGACACGGCAACAAATGTCACAGTCGACTTCTGTATACGCGTAACTTGAACACTGAGGACGAAGTTCGCAGCGCTGCTCTATACGAGCCAGCCACTCCACAGGGTCCATTCACTATGCTTCGGGCCGAAAGGGACATGGTTTTACTGGCCTTCGAGTTGTTCAAACAATCCCAAGGCTAGAATTTGCCACCTTCAATAGATATAGTGCGCTAGGACGTGGCGACAATGCAAGGGGAACTTGGCAAAATGAATGAGTTCCTTAGGAGCCCTTAAATGATGGCCACATGGAGAAAGCCTGGCACCTTATTTTCGAATTTTGATCTTTGTCAGAGCATTAGAGTGGTAACTTACCGCTAGTAAGGATTGTTGCAGAGAAATTCACTTTCTCTATACAAATTGTATGTCATTTTGGGCTTAGTTGAGAATCTGGTGTCATAACTACATACTGGCGCATTGACCTAGGCCTAGGGTATTCAACATGCCCTCGATCGCATGTCTTTCTATTCAATCAATCAATCATTTCGTCCTGAATGCGTTAGTTCATGCACTTTTGGCTGGTTCCGGTAGTCTTTAAGAGATCACCCGCTGGAAAATATTTCAATCGAATAGCATGACCTTGCGCTGTACATCTGTTCCTGGCCGAGCACGAATCCCGAGAGCTAATGATTGACCCCAGAGTTCTGTGGGGCGTGTTGGCGTAGTCTGAAGCCTCACGATTATCCACACATTATTGCCCTTCAAGTAATGTTATTGTGGAAATCGGGTGGGTTGGTTTATCCTGGTCGTGTGTTGACCACTGCCCACGACGAACTCGATAAACGTTGAGAATGCGAGATATCATTGGCTAGCTAGATGTCCCGTTTCCAGTGGGTAGTTTCGGGTGATATTCCGTCTGTCTCTCGAGGTTGGCACGGACCCATTAATTGTAAACAATGCCAACCAGAACTAATGCGGTTCGAGTGTCCTTACCGCAGCTACGTAACTCACTCCTACCTTCAATGCACCGTATGCTCGGTGACTGCAAACGAACAACACCAAGGCACCAGCTGATTCAACATTAATTATCAGTTCAAATATCCTTATCTATCGACCTTTTCTATGATCAATATGATCAAACAATATGCTGCCACGCGATTCGAAATGCGGGGCACTCATCAGGCAAGAACACGTACAACTGACGCCTCTGATGATACCAAAATCTCCCGATTTTGACGTCAAAGATTCTCAATTCTTCGGAAAATTCACCAAGTTGCCCTCACCGGAAGAAGTTCGCTCGCAGGCCAAAGCCCAACATCTCGCGGGAGTCTGTCCAGACAATAGAAAAACCTTCTCGTTAGAAGGCCCTCATGTGCGACCACCACCTGTGATATTCAAGGATCTGGGGCTGTTTGTCAAATGGGGAAGCGCTGCGAGAATTTCAGAGGGCCAGTGCCTCTATGCTCCCGGCCAGCTCCTCAAAGATCAGGTCCCCGTTCCGGAGATATACGGGTGGCGGGAGGATGGCGGTCAAACTTTCATTTATATGGAGTATTTGCATGCGCAGACTCTGGAGCAAGCATGGGAGAAGCTGGAATCTGATGACCGCGTTTCGATCTGTTGTGAGCTCCGGACAATCTACAACAACATTCGCCACCTTGAACAGAAGCCAGCAGAATCATTCATAGGCACGATCCTCTCAACGGCCTCTGCATTTTTCTGAACTACATCCATAACTCTTTCTCCACGTGTAGGTAATATTGCACAAGCTCCTCTACATGACAGAGCATTCCACGTCGAGTCTATGCCCGAAGCAGGGCCGTTCAATACCGTCCAGGAATTCCATGACTGGTTTACTTTCCTATATCGAAAACCAATGCCAGATCCATATTCTGTCCCAATCGAACCGTTCCGTCATGACCTGTTTGATGATTGTGAAATCAAATTTACGCATGGCGATCTCCATCGGAGCAACGTCTTATAACACGCTCTGAGCCCTATCATGTTCTTGCACTCGTTGATTGGGAACAGTCAGGCTGGCTACCTGTGTACTGGGAGGCCAGAAAGGCGCAGTATACTGCTGACAGGAATGACGAATGGTCTAGGAAATATTTGCCAATGATTTTGTGTCAGTATACCAGCGCTTGGGATCCACGGGACTACTACACTACGGCCATGGGATGTTGAGATAAAGGCAGCGTTTTATTGCTCCGGCTTTTATTGATCTCTTTTCTGCATTGCGTATAATAACAACGGCGTCGAAACATAAATAGCAAATAACAATGGAAAGCGCGCGAATGGAAGCGGGAGAGCGAGAAATCCCCACAGCGAATATCTCCACATTCAATGACAGGACGGAATCCTAGGGCCGCCTAGTTCACAGCAGCTTTGGAGCATTTTGGACCACGGAGATGGCGCTGCCAGCAATGAGGCCCTCTTCGACAAGCTTTCGGACGTAATTTTGCAGCCAATCTTGGCAATTTGGAGCCTACGCAAAGAAATTAGGGGGTGGCTATTATTTTTGTGAAGGCCAACATACTGATGGGTCAAAAGGGTCGGGACTGTGGCCGGGAGGTAGAACTACTGTGGCGGCTGACTCCAGTCGATCGCGCGCAGTTGTGTCTACTCCTGGCTGTCCATTACCCACAGTATCAGTAATGAATCGCTCATCGACTTGAGCAAGAGGTATAATATGCATACAATGACCGCGAGATCAGTCACAGCCAAGGCATACGCAACCCAGTGCATGGGAGATGCGTCCGAAACTACAATCCAGCAAATTTCAAAGGACCGCAGCGGAATCACGGCGAAGAAACAACATCCTCATCACAAACAACAGACAACCCCTTTTGAAGGGCCCGGCCGCACACTACGTTACAATTCCAGGTATGCTACCTCGAGATTCTATATCTTCACCATAGCTAAAAATATATGACGTATATAGAAGAGCTGAGCTGATAGAAGCTACACTCTCCGTTGTCTCAATTTCATTGTCAAATAATTACTGAAACTTATTTGTTCCGAGACTCAAAACCAATTTTTGGATACCGCCAATTTAGGTTCTGACTCACTATTGCTCTTGAAAAGCGAAAGACGACGTCTGGATCAAAACAACTTCCTCTTGTAGATTCTCTACGACGTAGAGTCTCAGAGGATTTTGGTCAATGACAACAGTTTGGAAGCGGGCTGAGCGGGAAAATACATCGTAGAATCGTGCTTGATTCATATGATCTCTAATGTGGAACTTGGGTTGACGGAAAGGGGCTTCTGGTGTGGACCTTCGTTCAAGAACTTGGACCCTGCACTACTGTAAGTTGCGACGGCAAGTATGACCAGAAGATAAAATTAGAGCCGAGTGATCTAGATGGATTTGGAAGGAGCCTGATGACTCAAAGAGGCTCGAGGGGCTGAAGAAAACTTGTCTTCCACAGCCAAGACTGGCGTCGCGCATCTTGCATAAAAGGGTTAGCACGGTACTAAGTTTTCAAACGCTCAAGTTTTTTCTAGCGCTCCATCGTGTCTGGAGCTAGACGTCATACGAAATCAGTGGCAACAATCCGCTCCACCATAATTTGGAGATGCAGGATCTTAGGTCAGGTGCTACGACAATCCACTCTGGTTTGTTGACAATCAAAATCCCGATAATGCAGGGGCAGGGATATTGTCAGGTGGAATGATGATAAGCTTGAAACCGTGCACCATGCATCACCTCATCTTTCGGCTTTGTTGAGAGGCTTGATACATCACCGACAATCCGCGCGTGGAAACATTTTTTTCAAATGACTCCGAATGTGCATTTGGGTAAGTAGAGCTAGAAGAAGACCCGGAACCAATCCTTGCAAGCTAGGCCAACGCCGAGACGCAACACAACATAGGGCTGAGCCAGAGCAAACGACTGCGCCACAAATAATTTTGCAGCCTTGACGTGGCCGGGAATTTCCCGTCGGGAATGTCTGCCAAGGCCTCGAGACTGGGTCAGAGGAGGGTCTGGGATACGGAAACCGCCTTCCGGCGTTGAAACATGGCCTCGAATGTGAAGAAGGCTATGACGGTGAGAGGAAGGGATCAGCCACAAAAGCCCAGAATAGGTGGGAAAGGAGAAAATCCCGCGAACCATACGAAGTGCCAAGGCTCGGCTGGTCCCGCAGGAGAAAACCTCGTAAGTCACGGGGATTATGTCAGCCATTGTGGCAGCCTGAAAGTCTAGAGCTACCAAAAGAGGCTTAATGTGGTGGGTCTCTTGGCGATTGACTTTTTCCTTTAATTCCCCATACATCAAACACGCACATTCCTTATTTCTACCTTCTCTCCTATATATCACCATGGTGACTTTCCTCCAGTTAAATGCTTCCTCTGTAGCATGCGCTGAGCTTTAACACTGCGTGTTGCTGTCTCTTGGCCTAAGCTCCCATTGATCCTATTCGCTTTTCACCCTCCTCCTTTCTGAGCTCTTGCGCTGCAAGCTTATCGACTCCGTCCAGCTCAACTCCTCACCGCATCGATAACAAAGACTCTGGCTTGTGCTATCTGACCTGGACGTTTTCGGTCCTTGCCTCGGACCACCTCGTGCCAAGTGCACCTGCCGTCTCACATCCTTTGTCTCTCTCAGGGGTCTTCACCGAACTTTTGTGAACACGGAAGACCCGTCGAATTTCCATCTCTACTTCGAGTTTAACTATTTTTCGTTTTTTATTTGTCACCATGGCTGTCGACTTATAGCCCGTTCCGGCTCCTGGTTTCCCTGCACTTCAGCGCTTCTTCTATATCTTGGACTTTCCCCCCGAACTTTCGGGAGCTCCAGTCAACGCGCGTACCCTCTTGTTTGGTCTTTGATACCACCCCCTCCACAATGGCTCCCAACCTCTTTCTCTGCGCGCGCAACATCTTCTGTCCCGTCTACTGGTTCCAAAAGGGCGATCGCGACGGCACCCTTAAGGAACAGCATTGGCAATCTCCCGTCCCCGGAACCTACAAGTTCTTCCCCGGTCGCGGATGGCACCTCATCCACCGGGATGGATATGAACACGACGAGAAAAATCCAGCTGCTCTGGTCTACTGTCGTATCCTCCACCGCTACATGTTCGAATCCGAATTGGAGGACCGCTGCCGCTGGTTTGATGCGCCGCTACACAAGGGCGCGCGCCCTGAAAAGCTCCGCTTTTTCCTCCTCGACGATGGTGTTCACTGGGTTGCTGGCTGGGATGCCCATGGCAGTTTCATTCCTGGCCCTTATCCCAAGTGGTGGCTCGATGAGGATGGCTACACTATGCACCGTGGTGCCTCTCCCCCTACCAGTGCCAATGTCTCCCGCTGCAGCAGTATCATTGCTGGCAAATTCGATTGAGCGACTGCTCCATCCTTATGAGGTTGCTTAGACAACCCATCTAATTGTGATCGGAAATTCCATCATACATTTTATTAGCGCTGTTGTTTCGGTCTTGCGAAGCGTTCAAGCGTGTCCTCTTTGTTCATGATGACCTCAAAAGTGCTCGGTTTCGGTTTCGGTTTCATGTTTGTGCTGGATTTAATTTTGTTCATGTTATGGGTTATAACGAGGGTTGTTTTATGTTTCACCGGTTTCATTTCATATAGATTTCAATTTAGATCAGACTCCGGATCATCTAAGCGTTTCAGATGATCAACATGGCGCACTTTTTTTTATATCTCTGTTTGGCGACTTGCATTCTCGAGATGATGATCGATACGAATTGAGACAAAACGTCTTACCACCGCACATCTTTCCTATCCATGGTAATTATCCCGCGTAGTCTTATATTACGATTCCCAGAACCAATGAGCGCGCGGCCAATAACTCATTCCAGCTGATAAGACTTTATACAAACCCTGTGATGTTCCCATCTAATGTTATATCACCTCACAACTTTGCCCCCTCCTTAACGAGCAACTTCTCCAACCCCTCTCTAACCCTCCCCTCCATCCCACCCTTCCCAACCCGCATAGTCTCCCTAAGCACAAAAACATGCGTATAAGTCCCAACCATCTTAACACCCTCTTCCCCCTTCTTAAAGATCCCCACTTCCCACGTCACACTCGACTTGCTAAGCTTGTTCACGCGCAGCCCAACCTCCAACTGATCCGGGAAGCGCACGGAAGCAAAGAAGTCCGCCTGTGTGGAGACTATTAGGCCGATTTGATCGGCGCTTGCCGCAATAGCCGAGGGCTGTCCTGGTTGCGGTTGTGGTTGCTGCGTTGATGTTGGGTTGTTCACGCTGAAGGGATCCATGCCGCAGTGTTCGATTAGGTATGTGTTTGCGATTGTGTCGAAGAGGTGTGTATAGACTGCGTTGTTGAGGTGGGCGTACATGTCATTGTCGAACCTGGGGTATGTTAGGTCTTTGGGTATTGGTTGGGTTTGGAGGTGGGTGTCGGTGGTTGGACTTACCATCTTGTTTGGTGGACTTGGTGGTAGCCATAGTCGCTGCGCTTGCGCTGTTTCTTGGTTGAGTATTCTGGGGATGCCATTTTGGATATTTTCACCGACAGCTGTGTGTTTGGGAAATGGTTGTCTCTATGTGCTTAATACCCTGGGGCATCTCAAGGAATGAGGTTATCTCCGCGTTTCCTCGGAGGTGATGGACCTCGGCATGACGGTGATTAGGTAAGGATCTTGAAGATCTCCCAAGGCTGAGCATGTGGATTTGGTAGATCAGTTAACACTCCATTAACTGTAAGCCTTCGACTTATAGATCTGCACCAACTATGTAATTGTTATACTGAGGATATTCGATGGCCTGGCTGTATATAAACATTGACTAATCAGGGCCTCGGATCACCTTGAATGTGGGGCGTACCTGATAACACGCGATAGAGATTTATTCTTTTTTCTTTTCCCCAGGCAACTTCACTTGCCCTTTGCTCTTTGACTTGTCGCATATTCTCTCTCCCTCCTGGCTCCTTCACCCCGTATAACGGCCTATTTGCTGCGGCAAGGCAAACTAAAACTCCCGCCGAAGCCCACAATGGCCCTCGTGAATGTCGACCAAGTGCCCCCCACCAAGCCCGTGGAGAAGACCCCGGACGTGGTCGTGACCCCCTGCAATCCCTGGACTGCACCATACTATCTGGATGGTGGATTCCGTCGCATCAAACCCTACCACTACACCTATAACACCAACTGCAAGGAGCGATGGCGCGGTCGTCAGTTGGTCGAGATCTTCACGTCCGAGTTTCGCGATCGGAAGCCGGAGTATTATGTACGTTGATTGTTTGGCACAGGAGAATTGCAAACTAACAATGACCAGAGATCCGCTCTTGAAAAAGGCCTTGTAACCGTCAATGGTGTGAGAGCCTACCCAGAAACCGTCATCAAAAACGGCCAAGTTATATCCCACACCACCCACCGCCACGAACCCCCTGTCACAAGCCTCCCCATCGGAATTATCTACGAAGATGAAGGGCTCATTGTCATTGACAAGCCCGCCGGTGTTCCCGTCCACGCTGCAGGCCGATACAACTTCAACTCAGTCGTAGAAATCCTGCGCGCAGATCGCGACCCCAATTTCGTGCCTCGCCCATGCAACCGCCTTGACCGACTGACCTCCGGAATCATGTTCATCGGAAAGGACCCCCAAGCTGCGGAGAAGATGGCCACCGCTCTTAAATCGCGCACAGTACAGAAGGAATATGTCGCGCGCGTCAAGGGCAAGTTCCCCGACGGCGTGGTAGTCTGCGACCAGCCCATCATGCAAGTAAGCCCGAAACTCGGTCTTAACCGCGTCCGCGCCACCGGCAAGGAAGCCACAACCAAATTTCGCCGTCTGGCCTACTACCCTCCCACCGCAGAATCGGGATCCAGCACCCCGGACGGCGAGCGCCCCGCTACACCCCCTTCAACATCCCTTTTGAGCGAAACGGAAGGATATAGCATCGTGCACTGCTTCCCTCTCACTGGCCGCACCCACCAAATCCGAGTCCACCTTCAGTTCATGGGTCATCCAATCTCAAATGACCCCATCTACTCCAATAGACGTGTCTTCGGGCCGGGGCTCGGCAAAGCCGAAGCAACCGCCGAACGCGACGAAGAAATCGTCGCCCGGCTATCTCTCATGGGAAAGACAGAAATTGCGGATACAGTGTCGTACCGCACACATCTAACCGCGGCACCGAACGTACCACCAGGCACGGATCCGGTCCTCGTCAACGAGATCATGTACCGCGAACAAGTCGCCGCATCCGAAGATTACGCCAAACGCAAGGGCGAGAAGCTATCCGGAGATCTTTGTGAAGTCTGCGGTACGGAGTTGTACTCAGACCCCGGTGCTCATGAGCTCGGTATCTTCCTGCACGCTGTTGCGTACGCTGATAAAGACGGTGACTGGGGATACCGCAGTCCGATGCCTCACTGGGGTCTGCCTCCGCATGGCTGTGAGGGACCCACCGAAGTGCCGGATTGGGTTCCTGCTGCTGAAGGCGAGGAAGTCGTCATCGGGCATGGGACTATTCCTCCTGGGCTGGGTGATGAGGATCTTGCTGCTGATGCGAATACTGGTTCTGTCATCCTCGAGGGTGTCGGGCTTGTTAATATTGCTGAGGCGGCGCGTATTCAACAGCAGCAGGGTGCAGAGACGGCTACGGCCTAGGATCGAGGGTTTATATTTGTAGGTTTCGTTGCAAATTACCTTTTATACCATGCCCTTTCTTCTTGGGATGTGTTTTTCTTGGTGATACCTCTTCGTTGACTTGGGCATGACTGGTTTGCTATAGACAATTCATATGCATAGCGTTTTGGTGCATGATATATACATTTACATTTATTATATTTATGTTATGCCATGATATATAGATCAAACATCGCATTTTACGAAGCATGTCTAGTTCATCAGCCCTCTGCCATCCTGTTCTCTATTTCAATAGTGTCAGTTCTGCTTAGAATTATATTGTTACTCTGGTAATAGCCCGGCTAATGTTAGTCTTATCCCAAGAACAGTGCTTTATTGGCTACATCTCCCCCACCATAAGGCTCAAGCTAAGCTGCGCACGTCGGGCAACATCATCTCCACCGTGGCAAAGGAGTCAGGAACTAACTTATCTTCCATAAAGCGATGCTAGTACACTCAATAATCTTCCAATTCTATAAGCCACTATGAAACCCCCATGTCGTATCCCCATCGACATCCTCCTCTCAATAGCAGACATCCTCCCCCTCGAAGACCTTCTCCATCTACTCGAAGCAATCCCCTATCTAACTCCCAATCTCCCATCAAGACTCCTCAAATCCCAAGATCCAAGCGGAAACACCCTCCTCCACCTCCTAGTCTCATCAAACCTCTACACCCTAACAACCCTCCTCCCAAAACAACAACCCAAAGCCCTGAACACACCAAACTACGACGGCCAAACCGCCCTCCACAAAGCAGCCCTGACCCAAAACCTCCAAATAACAACCTACCTCATCCACCACGGTGCAGATATTCAGCCCCGAGACAACAGAGAAGAAACACCACTCCACCTAACCTGCCGCACAACTTCCCAGGTCTCATCCCAAATTCTCAACAACCTCCTAAACACCGGCGCCGATCCCTCACCCCATAACATAACCGGCTTCACGCCCCTCCACGAAGCAATCCTCTCCCACCAACCGCCTTCAATAATCAGAACCCTCCTAAAAGCAGGCGCAGACGTAAACGCAACAGCCGGACGGAAAAGATGGACACCTCTCTTCTACGCCGTTCGCTTTAGTATCGAATCACCAACTGAGGTCTTAATCAGCGCAGGCGCAGATCCAATCCTCTTTACCCATGCCAATGCAAATGCCAATGCCAATGCCAAGGACGAGTTACAAAAATGTCCAGCGCCATCCCCATCCCCGGGACGCGGAATCGAAATCGTAAAAACCGTCCTAGAGGGCGATGTCGATCTCGAACAACGCGATATAGATGGGCGAACTGTGTTATTAGAAACAGCCCGTGTAGGCGCGGATGAAGCTCTAGCCTTGCTTTTGGATGCCGGCGCTGATATCGGGGTTTGGGATGGTAATAGGCGGGATGCGCTTTGTTTGGCTGCGAGTATGGGCCATTGGTCTACGGCGAAGAGGCTTGTTGAGGCCGGTGCGGCGGTTATGCATCGTGATTTACTAGGGAGGGATGCTGTTGGTTTGGCGATGTGGTTTGGGTTTGAGGATTTGGCGAAGATGTTGGTTGTTGAGAGGAGGAAAAGGCCGTTCAGGTGTTTATTTGAGTTGGTTGGGAGGGGATGGGGTGGAAGTGTAGCTTGAAGAAAAGTTGTTGTTTGTATGAGTTTGGTTGCCCTTGGGTTCTGATGCTGCTGTATGTACGCCTATTTTATCCAAATTCTTAATGTAAATCCTACTCGCTATTCCAACGCCTCGATGTATATACACTTATCCATGGGTGGACAGCGGAAAGAGCTCCCATGGATCACCAACCCGCTTAAATCACTTCCTGACATTGTCCCATCCGCTTCACCGCAGCATCTACCCGCCACAACATCGTCCCCGACTTCGTGCCGGGTGCAGGCTTACCGCGCAGGACAGCCTTGGACGTTGTGCAGCGGGATTCTGCGGTGAGGCGGTACTGGATACACTCCGGGTCTGCAGCGCAGAAGTCGGCACAGTCAGGGAGAGAAGCAGGAGTCTTAGGACCCTTATAATCCTCTTTGTTATCGCCATCCGGGGCAAAGTTATCCCAATTATCCAGGTGGTCCGCCAAAGTCGGACGAATAAGATTGCGGAAGATCTCATTGTATGTCAATTGCGTCGAGTTCGTCTGTGAGAATGTCAGAGCCGCCCCGATATCGTCAAGATAGCTGACACGGAGTACAAATAAGTTACTCACCTCAGCAAACCACATCTGCTCAAACTCCCAAAACCGATCCACATCCGCAGGAGTCATATGATGGAAGGTAAAAGGCGCATGACACCAAGGCGTAACCCCAAACCCATCCCTCAGCATATCCTGCTCCCAAACCGACTGCGTCGTAACCCTAGGCCAAGACCAAGTAAGCCCAACACCCGCCTTAGCAAGCAACATGCCAAGCACACAATCACCCGCCCATTCCCTATCAGTCGTATCATCCCACTCGCCAACATTAGCCGTATGATAATCTGCCGCAGCATGAATAGCCGCATGCGAAAGCACAAACCCGGACCCACCATGCGCAAACAGATTCGGCCCAATTTGCATCTGATTACCCAGATACAGTCGGTCCGCCGAATCAAAACTGGATAACCAGGCGAGCAGATTCGGCCAGATCGGGTACGTGTCTGCCTCGAGGAAAACGAACCAGTGAGCATCTGGGCGCACATGGCGCGCTGTGTGGATCATCGGTAGGAATTTCCACTTGTCGAGCTTCCAGCCGGGGTTGTCGCTCATTCCCGATGGGCCGTTGGCGACTTTTGTGCGGTCTTGCGATGTTAGGGCTGCGTGGCCGCCTGAGCGGGCGCGGTTGTAGAGGGCGAAGTCGATGTTGGATTGTTTTAGGGATTCGGAGACGTTTTGGAAGACGTCGTAGGTGCGCACTCCTGCTATGTCTTCTTCGAAGTCTGAGACAATGATTTTGTGTGGGATGCAACGGAGGGTTGTGCGTAGGTGCACTGGTACTTTGTCTTGAGCTTCGGTTATGCCAGTTTTTATTACTACTAGGATGTTTTCCATTCCTGGTAGTGGTGGGCATGTACTTGGGACATGGTCTGTTGTTGCGGTTGAGGGTGAGGGTGAGGTTGTGTTTGTGGTGGTCTCGATTTTGAGGCCTGGGGTTGGTTCGATCACGTCCTGCGTGGTACTTGAACCCAGGTCTGCGTGAATGAAGTGTAGTATGAGGAGAATTAGGACCACCGATGCCAGGATTCCCCAGCGACCATATCGGGCTGGGAGAGGCATTGCGAAGAGCCGGGTAAGGTGGGCGAAGCGAGGAAGAACAGCAATTCAATGAATATAGATAGTAGAAGTGTCGGCCTCCATAGCCAGCTGGAGTCGATCAGGAGTCGATCAGGAGTTGGAGATCGTGAGGGGGTTATCGAGTCTTTAAGTCGTAGCGCGTGGGGGCTGTCTTAGGCTGACATCCACTCGAGCTAGTGGCACCACTAAGACTTCTTCGACATGCTAACCGTTCAATGCAACTGTGTCCCGTGCTGTCCAGGGCTGTGTTGTGTTTTGTGTCTATATTCGCATCGGAGTAGCTTTGCCTGTGTCACGTAGCGTCACCAGTGGGTCTGTCGATCTGAAACGTGTGCAAAATGATCGACTCCTATGGCAAAGTCCAAGATGTTTCACTTTGGCTGATCACTTCCTTGGTCAGGATGAGACATGTACTTTGGAAGATATTGGCAGCGATTAGGGGGATATTGGGATATCGGGGATGGGAATGGGATGGACATTTTAGGGCTATTCGGCCAAGGGTCATTTTCCCCTCTACTTGTACAATGTTCAGCAGATCAGACTACAATCTACCACACCTAATTCCTTGGATATACTTGAATGTAAACCGGATGTTTTGGCAATTTTTGTTGTCATTTCAGAGAACAATTCTCTCGCTGTTTAAGCGCCCGGCACTATGACCAAGCCCGAGGACATGCCCACAATCCTTAAATTTCGTAATCGCCGGAGATAATAGCACCGTACAAAAACCCCCGACCCTCTACACCGACATAAATGAACTTTTGGGTTCCATTTAAGCCTCGGTGGTGACACGGCCCTTGGCGTTGGTGACCTTGACACCGAGAGCCTTGGCCTTCTCAATAATGTCAACGCGCTTGCGGGAAGAGACGGCGTGGCCGATCCTGTTCAAGTTGTTAGTCACTCCACTTGGGTCTGGTATCGTGGAACGGAAAACGTACTCGGCAGCGAAGGTGCGGTTGTGCATGAGGAGGAGCTCAACGTCCTTGGTGTTGTGGACGAGGAAAGCCTTGTGGCCGGAGGGCATCATGTGGCGGGTCTTCTTGTTGGAACCGTAACCGATGGAGGGCATGGCCTGCTGGCCCTTGAAGCGACGACGCTGGGCATTGTCAATACCCTGGGGCTTTCTCCATGAAGCGCTACAAGGATATTAGCATTGATTCGTTGCTGCAGGCATGTATGTAGAGCTTACCCGACACGCATGAACCGGTCAGACTGGTGACGGTTGAAGCGGTTGGTGCCTATTGCGATCGATGTCAGTCCTCCATTCTGTTTCGTGAATTGATCGGTGCTGTGTTGTTCAAAACCAAGAATCGAGCGCGAAAGTCTCTGCAGAGGTTGTCTTCGGGTCGAGTCTTGGCCTTCGATGTTTTCAGATGTCGCCCTTCGATCTCAATAACATATTGATTCTTTCCAAACAATTCTCCAAGCAGTGATTCGTTTTTCCAGGTCGTTGAAATCTCCATGTAATCGATGATCGAAGGGCGATGAAAACCGGGGGGGAATTTGGTATAGGGACACAGGGCGACATACGCTTCTTCACGATAGGGATGTGCTTCTTAGCGGCGACCATCTGGAAAGAAATTAATGACTGAGACGACGAAGGATTGGTGATCAAAAACTCACCTTGTCGGTATTGCAGGGTCTCGCCGGGCGTTCGAGAGTTGTCGTGTCGGAGTTCAATCTCGAAAACTTCTCTCTCAGGTTCTCCGGCGCAGAGTGGGAGACCCACACTAGTGCGCTTTGAGCGAGCTAAGCGAAGCGGTGGCTTAGGTCAGCGTAGGGCAGCGTGTACGGCTGTGCCCTAGCCCTAACATTCCTCTTTGGGATTCCTCATCGGGTATAGCGTATTAACTATACAGTTGAAGTCTTTTAACGTTATGTTCATTTTCATGAGTTGAAACTAGTCTATACATTTATCTACTGTAAATGCAACTGAATCTTCTCTCCATCCTTCTCACCACTCTGCAACATCTGCTCCAAAACCTCAAGATCCGCCAACGCCTCCTGGGGCGACTGTCGGCTAGCGGGCTTCCCATGGACGATGGATATCGCAAACTCAGCCACCTCAGGAGCGACGCCTCTACCGTCAAACTCAATAGTATTCAGAACACCATTGACAGTCACATCATCAAAGTTCAAAGTGACAACACCCTTCTCGCAGGCGAACTCAAACACTTGGTCACTAAACGTCGATCCCCATGACAAGGAAACAACACCCGTAGCACCACTGTCAGTCTTAAGAACAGCATCCACCGTATCAACCGGTGGCAGATGAGCCTGCTGCAGCTGCGAATGCGCAGAAAGAGTACTGATATGCACTGCGGAGCCCAGGATCAGACGTAGACCAGCAACCATGTGCACGCCACCATCCAATAGGAAACCACCTTGGTACTCAGGGGTCTTACGCCAGGCAGTTTCTATCAGACGTAGTCAGTATCATTATCAGTATAAGTATCACCCATGTAATCCTCGGTATATCCTTGATCAAGAAATAGAAATAGAAATACATACGGTAGTACTTGTTATCAGCCTTAACCAAGTTATGAACATTAACCCGGAAGTTCAGAACCTTGCCCAACGTCCGCACCTGCTCAGCCGCAAAGATGAACTTAGTCAAGTAGCGGAAGTTCTCACCAACAGACCAGAAGATCTTGCTAGTATCGATGTTCGTCTGATACCATTGCAAGAGCTCCTGGGCAGTGGCGATATCCTTTGCGATAGGCTTCTCGGATAAGACATGCTTGCCTGCCAGTAAGGCTTTTCGGATGAATTCCGGTTGCACCAAGATCGGAAGACTGTTTCTCGGGTTAGCTTTTGTCTTTTACTTGCCGTGCGAAGTGACTCGTTAAGGATGGGGAGGAGGGAGTGGTATGTACGCAATAATCACAGCGCCGATATCAGATCGAGCCAGTAGATCAGCATAGGACCTATCCGCTCCTGAATCGTCAGAGTAGAGATCCACACCGGATGTACCGCTAGCGAGGTCCTTGGCTGATTTCAGGGATCGCGAGTAGATGGCCTTGAGATCGAAGTGTTGTGCCGCTTGGACGGCTGGCTGCAGTGAGCGTTAGCCACATGCATGTACTGTGGAGACTAGGTCGACATTCATACCAGGTGTTGCTCTTTCGCAAAGAGGCCTGTCCCAGATGTTAGGTCTAGTGTACATCAACGCGGGGGAAAGGTACATACCGCTGCCAATGATAGCCACGCCGATTGACATGATGGATTGTAGATAGTAGGAAATATTTTATAGACTAGAGAGATATAAAAAGGGAGTCAACTGAGAAATTATGCAGAACTGTCTGGCAGGTAGTGGGGAATGGAACGATTCGAATGTTCTGAGCCACTTTGGGGGACTTTGGGGAAGGTCCAACCTCAGCGTCACGTCATTGCAATCTTATACTTCAACTTCGACTACAACTTCTACGCGGAGACTCCGTTTTCAACGGGGTGCACTATTCAAGTTCACTCAATTATTATGCAAGAATCCAAAAAAGCCAGCTAAGACCAGAAAACCGATAACCAAACACCAACCCAATAATCCAACAAGGGAATCCCAAATCCCCCAAATCCAAAGGACGCCAGGGTAATCCATCATCAAAAAATCCAATCATATCGTCGTAACGGATAAAATCCAAAGACACACAAATAACAAAAACCCAGTCCAAGTCCTAGGTCCTCCCTCACTGCCGATTAACCAAAGCCCTCAACCGCTCAACCCTAGCCATGGCATTCTCCAACCTCTCAAGCCTGGACCTCTTCTCAACATCCCTCCGCTCGAGCACAGCAACCCTTTCCTCAAGCTTCGCGCGCGCCTTCCGCTCCTGTGCAACCATCTCATTCGCCTGACTGAACAATTGAACCGTCAACTCCTCCAGCTCGGAGCTAGCCTGCGACAACTGGCTTTCGGCGGCTTTGCGCAGACCTTGTTCGCGTTCTAGTGCATCCTGGAGCTCGGAGGTGTTGTCGCTGCTCGCTGGGGAGGCTTGGGCTGGGTGGTTGTGGTTGGGTGGGTTTGGGAGGGTTGGTGTGGCTGGGGGTGGGACTGTTGATGTTGTTGTTGGTGGTGCTGCTGGGGCGCTGGTGGTGCTGGTTGGTGTTGCACTGCTGCGGCGGTAGGGGAGGAGGGAGGTTAAGGTAGCTAGGCGGCTGTGGTAGGTCGCTGTTGTTGGGGAGGTTGTTGGTCGAGGTGGATCTTGCGGTGTGGAATTTGAGGTTGATGTTGAGGGTGGGAGGGAGGCGCTGCTGCGTGGTGTTGAGTAGTTTTGTGTTTGGGATTGCGAACGTAGGCGTCGGATTTCGTCTTCGTATTCGGTGAGTTTTGTTGCTGTCGGGGGCGACGGTCAGTTGGTTTGTTTTGGGGGAGATGGGAAGGAAGTGGAAAGAGAAAAGACGTCTACTCGCCTCTCTCGGGGAGGGTCTTCTATTTTGCCACAGACTGCAGACTGCCTGCCAGGGCAGAGAGGCTGCTGCTCTTAGACTATCGAGGGATCACACTGCTTACCTGTCGCCGAAGCGCGAGCTGTCAACATATGCAGCTGCCCCTCCAACTCCTGGATCCTGTCCTGAGCCCCCGAATCATGGAGCCCTTCACCCCAGCACATGGGACATTGTTTTTCGGATACCGCGACACCCTTCATAGTTCCAACGAGCGTGGTGGTCGTGAGCGTGGAAGTGGTCGTAGCCGACATGACATGGGTTTTACCCCGGGATCAGGGTAAGGTTTAGGGTAACGGGTGGGGAAAGTAGAAGAACAACGGTCAAGGTGAAGTTGAGAGAACAACGAAGCTGAATATGAAGGAGCGAACTGAACTCATAGCCTTGGGCACATGGACAGCCTCCTAGGAATGTCCTTTGAAGGGGCCAACCGGCCACTCTATTTCTTCTTGGCCAATCGCATCACAGTGCCTGTTTCAAGGATAATTTCATTGTTTCATTTGGCTGGTGATCTGCATTTATTGCGTATGCCATGCATGTCCTTACATTCTCTGGATATCAATATTATATACAGTCTTTGCCTGTACAGACCTTGGACTATCCACCTTGGTGGGTCTGTACTCCGTACCTGACTCCAATATATTGACTTCAATATACTCCATAGTATCACTAAAATTAGACTTAATGACAGATCAGAACTATCGAGTCTCAACTTTCAGTGAAACTGCTCAGCCCTGTTTGATACAATGCTAGTCGCGACCGTACGTTACAGAGGCATACGAAAACAAGGCTGTCAATGAAGACTACATTTCATTCTATGCTGGACTCAAGGAGGAAAACAGGGAACGGAGCAAACATGACCATAAAGAAACAACTGGAGATGCAAAAATCCAGTCTAGAGATTTTAAAGCAGTCGAAGAGGAGAGAAGCAGGGAACAGGAATTGATTGTCGTCAGCATTGTGCTCATCAGCGTGCTCATCATGACTATCTCATCTCTCAAGGGCATCTTGATCGCGTGGCCGAGAAGGACCAAAGAGAAGAGCACATCAACACTCCAACTCCCAGATCTGACACGGCAGACAGGTTGACGAGAAAGAAAGAGGACCACCTGTGGTCAATCGAAAAACGGAGAGGAAAAAATGGAAACAGAAGAATGAAAGAAGAATGGAACATGTATTCATTTCGCATCGGCTGTAATGGTCATGGGCAGATCACACGAATCACGCATGGGAATAATAGCTAGATAGCGAACAAGACATAAAAAATGGAACTTTTCGGACTGCCAGATCATCATAGCGAGGACTAGATGTGTATCGAAAATCTAGCCCACGAAAAAGAAAAAGAGATCATGAAACCAAGGAGTAGAGACGTGGCAAGGGCAAAGGCAAGGACAAGGATAAGGAGAGAACAAAGCTCAAACAGAATAGCAACCGTCGCGCACTTCGTATAGCCGGGACAGATGGCAATTATGAGTGACAGACTTACCCAGGTAACACTTTTGGCGTGGAAAACACTGGAAAAATGACTCTGGTTTAATCCATCTGCGTACCGTGGGCATAAGAAACGACGGTCGCTTCGGGGTATCGATAGGTCTATGCGAATCCACGACCAGTCTGTCCACGGCGGGCGTTGCGCTGCTTGCCCACCGTCACCGTGCTCCATCCCTCGTCGTCACCAGCAGGGGCAGCCTCGCCGGCCGGGGCGCGCCAGTTGCCGTTGGTGGTCTCCTTCTCTGCCTCGGCGGGAGCTGCGACCTCTTCGGTCTCCTTGTCGGCGCTCATGCCGCTCTCATCCTCGCCGCTCCGTCGGAGAATCTCAAAGTTACCGCCACCCTTGGGTGTCTCGAGAGCATCCTTGCCGTTGTGGTCCACGGCGGTGGTTGACTTCTCCTCCTTGGCGGCCTTTTGCTTCTCAGCTTTCTCGGCCTTGGCCTTGTCGTCAGCTTCCTTCTTTTGGCGAATGGCAAGCTGGCGTCTCTCCTCCACCTGGCGCTCACGGGTGGCAGTGTCGATGGGGCGAGCGGCACCGAAGGGGCTGGCCTTGGAGTCACCGGTCGAAGCGGGGCTGGCGGTGGTCTCGGTAGGGGTGCTGCGCTTCTGCAGGTTCAGCTTGGGGCGGGTAGCGGGAGCGGCAGGGGTGGCGGAAGGAGAAGCGGGGCTGGTGGGCTCCTTGGGGGTTTCGTCAGGGCGCATTCTGGCGCGCCACTGGTTGTCCATATCGGCGGCAGTGGGTGTGGGCTCCGGGCGAACATGCTCGGGGCGGGGAGGGCGAGAGCCCTCGTCCTGAGAGCGACCCTCACCCCAAGCGGCTTCGTTTCTGCGGAAGCCGGAGTTGGGTCCATCGTTGCTGGTGGGGCGGCCCTCGCGGGGCGGGCCTGCAGGGGGCGAAAGGGGGCCCTTGCGCTCCCAGTTGTTGAAATCACGAGGCTTTCCATCGGACTCGAAGTTGCTGCGACGACCACCGCGGTCGCTGCCGGCATCAGAGGCGGCATCCATGCCACGTCCGAAGCTGGAACGTTCGGGAGCACGGCGCTGAGGCAGGTCGGGGAGAGGGCCACGGCGGGACCAATCGAGGTCCCGTCCTTCCATGCGAGATTCCTTGGCTACATAGCTTGTCAGTTGGACCGTTTGTCGTGGTCTTTCTTGAGAACTTACGAGGCTCGGCAACGCTGGTACGGATGGAGCGTCCTTGGAGGCTGGAACCAGACAGGTCCAAAGCCTTCTGCAGACCCTCAACGGTCTCGAACTCGACGTATCCGAAGCCCTTGGGGGCCTTGGTCAACTTGTCCTCCACAACACGGACATTTGTCACACCACATCCAGCGAAAAGGTCGGAGATATCAGCCTCGGTGGCTTCGAAGGAAAGGTTGCCGACGTGGCAAGTGTAGGGAGGCTGGGTAGGAAGATCGAGAGGCTCCCGGACGGCGTATCCACCACGCTCGCGCTCTGTTCATTGTCAGATCTTACGCTGTATATAAGGTGCAGAGAGCATCATACCAAAGCCACCAGGACCAGAGCCGAACATGTCACCACCAGCGGGGCGGCGGTTGAAACTGGAGGTCAAAGGCTGGGCTGTTCAGATTGTAAGTGATTGTCCAATAGTGGTATAGGCATGCGATATCGGCGTTACATACTGGCTGCACATATTGTTAGTACGGTTCAGCAAATTCAATGGCGGGGGATCTGCAGCTTACATGGAAGGGGCATATCCTCCATCTCATCAGCCCAGGAGCCGAGGCCTATGTCTGTCAGTCACCATGTCTTTCCCTCGAAATTTCCGATCGCTCACTTTCGTCAGCCAAGAAGGCGCCCATGGACATCTTCTGGGACTTCGCTTTAGGAGCTAAGCATATCGAGTTAGCGATCGCCCATGAAGCCTAGGTACAACGGTCTGGAACGAACCCATGATTGCGGTAAGAAAGAAAGAAACGCGCGGGATTTGTGCGCGCTTCTTAGGCGGTAAGGTTGAGAGGGAGGATGAAAAAGAGGAAATTCAAAGACACTTGGTAAGAGACCAAGAGTAAAAATCAGAAGTTGAGTTTAATATCTTCAACCCACAGTGGAAAAGTTGGTAGAGGGGAAGTCGGCTGCGGCATGGAAGTGGACGGGTTACTAAATTTTTAGTGATGACGCTAGCCCAATCAGAGCCGCGAGATCGGTCTATACTGAACACTTCGATATTCTAAGTAACTTACTCTGTAATTAATAGCTCTGGTTTGTTGCGTTTGGCTTGGGTTCTCTAGCTTTGGGCTGTGCCTTGCCCATCGTTTTAATGTTCATCTCTGATCTCCCCACGTTCTCGGCTAAAAATATACTCTTGTGTGAGACAACATAGGTTTGAACACAGGCGAAATTGGTTGGCTGTTTGTCACACTAGATGCTCTTGGATTTAGTTTACTCTAGAACTCGCCTGCAGAACCCAGCAGTCCCACAAGTCGGACTCATAGACTGTGTCGTGTCAATACTGCACTAGCTGTATACTTGCAGGCCTTCTAACACGGTCAGTAACTCACAAATATAAAATACGTCAGTACTTGAGTCGCAGGTACATCTTGAGCTAAAAACCCTTGCATACCACGGCTGATAGACTTGCAGCCAGCCAGAAACCTGGCTTTAGGTTCTATCAAGACGCCTTGACGAAGCTTCATCGCACGATTTGACGTCACGGGGGCTAGAAGCTATGAATGAGCCTTTACGTTGAAAGAAGGTTCTCTTCGGCCAGTAAAAACCAATATCAAGAAGGTTTGAGGGGAAAGCCTGATTGTGGGATAGTCTCGCAGGTGATCACCTACCGCGGAGAGTGTGGGGATATATATCTACTTAGGAACAAGATTTTTGGGAGATCTTCAAGCCCCCACCACATAGTTAACGAGGAATTTGTGATAGCAAATTAACAGCATCCCCTATCCATATTAGTATAATTATTACTGGTGGATTCTCATATCTTCAGTACTGCCCACCTGGTGAAGAGCGAACATTACATAATCAACATACATCACGTGAACGATAGTTTCTATCTTGGCTTCCTGCTTGGATAATGGTAAATAGTTCCCTGTATTATTGAATATCCAAGCGAAAGGAGATTCTGATGCATCACTCGTGTTGATCGCAACATGGGCGACCAAAAGAACAAAGATGGCGACTTCTACTCCAACGCCCTCTTGTCTGCAGCCAAAGTGGGAGCCCTGAGCGGTTAGTATTACCCTTGCCCAGGAAGACAGCCACATGCACCGGAACTTGAATCGCTGACATACAAGATAGGAGGCGCTGGTCTGCTATATGGCGGAGCTGCAGGAGTTATCAGATCGCCCAACCCCGTGGTTCATTCGCTATCATGCGGCATCCATTGGTTTGCATGCGGATCAACCTTCTGGTGTATGTGGAGCCATGCCATCTTGATACAGCTGTCTAACCTTTAATGTAGGGCTTCGAAGCAATATCATCAAGCTTCACTACCAAGATCAATCCTCGCCCAAGGAGCGCACATACGTGAGCGCTCTATGCGGTGGCATCGCAGGCGGAAGTGTAACGAAGCTTATGGGTATCTTCTCCCGCACTGGAAGCATCTCTTGTGGCAAGTTTTCTAACCAAATCATATAGGAGGCCGGCTGGTTCCGGGCGCCATCATTTTCTCGCTACTTGGGTACTGTGGCCAGAGTGTTTTCAACCGAGTCGACGCCTGGCAGATGGCAAATGCAAACAATTCATCCAAGCCCCTCGTACAGCGACTGGCTGAGTCCAAGTGGATTCCTCTGCGGACGCTCTCTGACGAAGAGTACCGGGATATGCTGGGGGAGAAACTGCTGAGCGTGGAGGCTGAGATTGCCTTACTTGATGACAAGATCGCGGAGCTAGAGAAGTCTCGTCCTGTCCTTGCTTCCCCCGCGAAGTAACCCTCCTATCATCCGAGCTCAGCGACTCCTGCGTTACACTGTTCACGGACTATTCGGGCAATGGGTGGACTGCAGTGCACGGACAATCTTCCAAGGTTGGGACCCTGAAGCATTGTACGTGTCAGCTCGTAACTGTTCGTGTGAAAGATGAGATATGAGAGGGAAAATGTATATTTTTGTAAGATATCAAAAGAGTGCCAAGCTTAATAGAGAGAAATGACAAAATGATCTCCGCTGACTGAAATCTTGGGTCGCGTGTCGATCGTGAACCACTAAAAAAGGAGAACTCCATTGTTCTGCATGAAATCAGCCTCCAACCATACCATATAAGCGAGATATGCAATAACAGGGATATAGGGAGGCACATAGTAACGTTACTAGTAAAGAACAAAGGCGATAATCCGGTTGGAGGGGACTAATTAGTGTTCCGCTTTTTTTGGCCAGTTCCTCCCGACCTGTCCGGTAGCCCACCACCTGTCACTTTCTCCATATCCCCCGGCATGATTCCTCAACACTTTACCTCTCTTCAGTTTGGTGTGCAGTTCCTACTGAGACTTTGATGAAGGTCACTGTCCTGGAATTTGGAATCTGTGATTCCGCCCAGACAGACAGTAGTGATTGGAGGATCTAAGTAACCGATACAATTGAACTTGACCGCGATACCCTCAATGTGCGACTCGAGATTGCCTGCCTGAGATCAGCCCCCTGCTGGTCGCGACCCGCGATGACCCTCTTTAACCCAACCTCGATCCTCGTGGGGTTTCTGCTCCTTTACCTCTCGTCCTTTTTCATCTTCGCCATCGTCCGGATCGCGACGGGAATATCCATTCAACGGATTGGTTACTTCTCACTACGTCGGATCGCATACACGCCGAAGGAAGGACTACATATTGAAATCCGCGGCCTCGGATTCTCGCTACACCCCCCGTCATTCGCCCAGCCAACATGGATCAGCATTCGATTGACGGATTTGAAGGTCACGGTGGACTCTTCGACTCTAGGGAAAGGAAAAAGCGAGGCGCCCCAGGGCATTTTGGAGTCTCCCGGCCCCTCCAGCCCGTCCGAAGACCGTGCCACGCCTGATTTGAGCGAGAGAAGCGGGAGAAGCAAAACATGGAGGACCTTGACGCGAATTAAGGAGCGCCTGAAGCGGCTGCACCGGCAAATCAATTGGTTGGCCTTGGTGGACTTGACTGCTATCAATACAACAGTGCATTTCGTCGAAGCTGGCCAGATCCAGGTGGGATCGCTTTCACTCTCGGTCGACACTCGGAGTAAAATGGTGGAACGGGGCAAGCTATTTCGTCGCAAGAAGGATATGTCGCGAGAACAACGCCCGGCCGAATGGATAATGAACGTGCAGAATGTTTTACTCAATGTCGACGGTCGAGAGCCAATTGAAGTGTTGGATAATGTGGGCGTGAACCTCCATGGTCTTCTCTACAAGGACTTGGACGGGCTCAGGGATGCATCGGTGGCCTTGAAGATTGGACGGATGCATGTACCATACGACGATCTTCGCACCATGTTGCAACGCATCAAACCGGCCCAGAAATCCGCAACAGGACCCACAAGCGTGGAAACCGATGACGAGATGTCATTTGCCGACTTTGTGGAGGAGCTTGACAAGCCTGGAAGCCGGGATGACTCCATTGTTCAGACTGTGGCAGATTCCAAGGAGTTTGCAAGCTCCCTGCTTCGTGGTATTCAGGAGATCCAGATCGCTCTGAGTTTCTTCCGAGTCTCACAGAGCATCCAGTCTCTGTCCGCAGGCCAAACCCCGGTTTATCTGAATGTGGTTTCTCACGAGCTTGGAATCGATCTTCATCGGATGGACCAAAAGAGTCCAGAGCATCGCATGTATTTCCAGCGAAACGATATCGCCCACCAAGCTCTTCTTGCTGCAATCTCTCTTTCAGTCAGCTTAGACGACGGGTCGGGCGAGACGGATAATATTCTATACATCCCCATGGCTACGACGACCATCAAGACAACGTTACCATCGAAGACAGTGAACGCCTTTGACGACAAGAATGCCGAAGAGCGGAACACGAATGTCCTATTCGCAAATTTGGTTGTCACATCACCCTCCGTCGACCTCCAGCCGAAACACGGTTCCAGGCTTCTAAAGCTGGTCCAGAGCCGAGCCTCATCTCCCCGAGGGAAGAAGCGAGATAACCATCATTTGATTTCTCGGTTGCTTCCGAAGGCAAGCATCAAATTATCAGTTCACGAGCCTGTGGTCCGGTTCGTTTTGCCGATTGAAAAAGAGTCTGGTACTCCCGATGACTACAACCTTCTTATTTCCTCGATCTCCTCCATTTCGCTCGATATCGAATCCTCCCATTCTTCCGAAGGAGGTGCTCACTATTCCCTTTCTTCCGTGTACCGAGTTGCCTCCCATAAGTTTTACTACCAGACTCCGGCGGGCAACAAACACAACCTGCTTACAAACGAGAACATGGAGCTAAAGGCCCATCTGAACGCCACCCCAGAGGTCTGTGTGATTGCTTCAGGAAGCCTGAACGAGTGCTCAGTACACATGATCGACGGTGAGGTGAACCGTGGCATCCGCGAAGTTTTGCAGCAGTTCATAACTCAGATGCAATCGTCAAAGAGAGTCCCAATGCCAACAAACGAACGAAAAGCAAGTCCATTGAGACGTGTGCCCGCTTGGCTGCTCCAGTTCCAGTTTGAAGCCACAGGATTTAGCGTGGAGATTGCTGGAGTGGACAGCACGGTTTCTGATATCTCCCGCGGTGTTTCTTTCCAATTGCAAACATGGACTGCAGACTACAAAGCCCAAAAAATCGAGTCAAATGTTGGAAGCATCTCTAGACGACGTACTCCAAGCCATTCTACCATCGGCGATGAGTCCCCCTTTCGATTCCCGCCTACCTCACCCCCTAAGAGCACTCAACGCGGTGCTGCGGATGGTCGACGACTGGCGATTCACGCTCGTGGGTTCGACGGCTTCGTCATTGAATCAGAAGATTATCTTGAACCCGAGCCGTTCTTTTCCCTACCTCGATTTGAGATCGCAATAAGCACCAGTAGTGATCGTCTCGGACCGGTTCTGCACGTCACATCTGTCTTCAAGGGCATCTACCTGCAATACTCATTGTACCGGTTCTACTGTCTTGGCGTTGCAGTCTCGGTCATCCAAGATGTGCTCACGCCTCTGCCAGACAAGTATGCAGACTTAACCCTTGGCAAATCTAGGGGACATGCCAGCATATCCATGCCACCCCCTCCAGCTTATAAATGGTCACCCAGAAAGGAGTTGATCACGTATGACGTCAAGGCAACAGTTGTTCAGCTCAAGGCGAACTTGCCCAATGATCCGCAAATGATGGTCCAGATCTATGGACTCGCGGGTGCTTCCCAGCGTCTTTCGACTCCTTATGTCAGGGCCAATCTTGTTCGCTTGCATGCAGAGGCCCCGAAGCTCAAGGGTATCTGGACGCGAATTGGCAGTATGAACAATGTCAGACTCGATTTCCGCACAAAGAAAATGAAGCATGGTAACGAACTGGTCGAAGAAAAGTCTATCGATTTGTGGACGGACTTTATCCGACTGGGCGTGCCTCATCACATGGTCATGCACCGCATCTTCGATAACCTGATCAACACATCCAAGGCCTTCAAACAGTTGCGCCATCGCTTCAAGAACCGCTGCAGAGACTTTGTGTCCGAGAGAGAACCAGAAGCACCGAAGAAGGTTCCAAGAATTTCCCTGCGAAGTAAAGCACTTCTGTTTGAGCTGGAAGACGACGGCTTTGAATGGAAACTGGGTTGCATCTATCGGGTTGGTCTAATTGAGCAGGCTCAACGGCTAGCCCGGGCGGATGCATTCAATTTGAAAGCCCAGAAAGTCAGAGACTGCGATCAACGGCGCGCCACGTCCCGGCTACGAGCCAAATCGAGCAGTCGGACGCTGCGCAGTGAGCGAACCAGCCAAGATACCAGGCGAAGCAGAAGCGCCGAACCACGACCCAGACCCGGCACGCAGGAGCGTGGTAGAGGTCGGAAATATCGATACGACACCGAGGGTGCGACTTGTCTTTCATCAGAACAAAAAATCTCCACGGATTCTGCCTGGGGCCGACTCCAGCAATATAATGCCCAGGTCTGGAAAGAAAAGATTGACGCAGCGCTCAAGTTCCAGGGCACTTCTATCAAAGAAGTCAGAAATCTCTTTTGTGGTGCAGATGAGCCTCCTGCCGATATCAAGGAGACTGAGACTATCCTTGCCATTCCAAACAGACCTGGCCTGATGTCAGCTCTGATCAGTGATGTCAATCTTGTCATTGACAAGCCCTCATTCGCTATTGATGAGTTCCCGGCCTTTATCAACCGAATCGGAAAGGGAATGCCCATGTCCATGCAATACGGTCTGCTTATTCCTATGAGCTTTAATCTGGAAGTGGGCGAGGCTCGTGTCAATTTGCGAGACTATCCCCTGGATCTGTTGCACATTCCAGCCTTACGCCCAGGACAGTCGCCGAGACTTCCCAGTTGGTCCTTGCGGACAGACTTTGTCATTGCCGAAGAATGGCGCAACCACGAATCTGCAAGACAGGTGGAGGTTGAACTTGTGCCTGCCTCTGAAGGAGCCGACGGAGCTACCCGGAAGCCGTATAAGATTCCTGTCTGGCGTTCCGTCACTCCGGTCAAGACTTACTCTGACCCCGTCATTGAGATCAACACAAGCTTGCCGACAAGCATTTCGTGGGGTGTTTCATACCAACCTGTCATTCAAGATATGATGAAGATCATCGAAGGCTTCACTAAGCCTGAGATTGATCCTTCTGAACGGGTTGGCTTCTGGGACAAGATCCGGCTTAGCTTCCACTCCCGAATTAGGGTGATTTGGAAGGAAGACGGCGATGTTCATCTACGCCTCAAGGGTTCCCGTGACCCGTATGTGGTGACAGGCTTTGGAAGTGGATTTGTCATGTGCTGGCGAAGAGATGTCAAATTGGACATCAATACCAGTGATAATCCCATGGAGTTTATGAGTGTCACCAGTGGAGAATATGTGCTCGCTATCCCCGACTACAGTACCGAAGCACGTTGGGCAAATGAGGCGACCACAGAAGAACTACTGGAAGACAGTTCTGCTTCCAGTGAACAGAAGAATGCCGCTCACTTCAAGAAAGTTGTCATGAAACTATCCGGCGACGTCAAATGGGCAACTGGCTTGGTCTTTGAACGCGACGTTGACAATGATTCACGATCCTTCTCCTTCAAGCCGCATTACGAGGTTGTCCTCAAGAACCCTAAATACATCGACCTAGAACAGCGCTCAAACTATGATGCCTACCGCGGCTTCCGCAGTGACCACATCCATCTGTCTGTTTCAGTCATTGCACCGCAAAGCAGAAACTGGTCTGTCGATACTGTTCAGCCATCTTCGAGCTACAACACCGTCCATCTTACCCCACGATTCTTTACACACTTTTTCAATTGGTGGTCTCTTTTCTCGGGTGTGATGTCGCTTCCTGTTCGCCAGGGACCGCTCTGGCCAGGAATCACAAAGACGAGCAAGAAGTTCAATCGTCACTTGGCAACTGTCAAATACAAACTTCTGCTTGCGCCCCTGTTTGTGGCTCACATATACAAACACAAGGACCGCGAAGACTACGCAGAAGACGTTGTAACGGCTACAGGTCTCAAGGTTCGACTTGATTGCCTGAAGCTTGACATTCACCAGCGACGTGAACAGATCAAAACTCAAGCCCGTGGTCGCTCAAAGCAGACCCGCACCAGTGCGATGCGCATCAACCAAGCTCAGATTGATCTTCAGTCTGCGGACTTCCGCGCTGTGTCTGCCACTATTGAGGGAACAACAGCGGAGGACATCGAGCGCAACAAGGACGATATTATTTCTTCCTTCCAGCAGCCAGTTCCATCAGTTGATCTATCTCGATTTACTATCCCCGATCACAACCTGGACTGGGTTGACATGGATGACTTCGTGGAACCAGACTGGATTCTCCCACAGGAATCAAATCCTCGCACCCACATCTTGCCGCTCGCCTTTACTCCGCGCTTCACGTACTTCCGCAACACAGATCATGGTGATGTAGGACCCGAAGAAACGGGCTACAGTACCTTTGGAGATGAACCAACCCACGAATGTGTCATGTCCGAAACGAACGATCCTCGCCGCGTCCAGATCGAATTGGTCAAGGATCGTCTCGCCACAGTTGAAGCTCAAACTCGCAACTTTGAACATACTATCGGAGAGCTAGAACTCAAGCTCATGAAGGACGTGGAACACGATCCGAGTCTTAAGGAGGAGCATGAAATGTTCCTTCGCCAAGCCCAATCTCTGGCTAGACGGCGCAAGTTCTTGACTTCAACTCTCAATCGTCTCGAGAGACACCTTACACGCGATGAGCGGTCAGCCAACAGCAATAGCAATATGCTTGGCAACAACGTGGTGCCTAGCAGCGCGTCTTTCCAGACTGGGCGAACAGGACGGGATGCCGACTCCACGATTGATGGCCGTTCTTCAGGCCTGGATGGAATCTACGCCTCGGGCAACGATGAGTTCTCTAGTGATTTCAACAATCGTTTCATGATCCACAATGTGCAGCTTAAGTGGAACAACTCGCTCCGGAATATCATCTTGCGGTACAGCCATCAAGTGAGTCAGCGGCGTGGATTCGTGTACTACATGTCTCGGCGCGCTGTCAAGTTCATTCTCGACATTGTGGAAGAACAGAACAAAAATAAGCGCAAGCAGCCAAAAATGTCTAAGACGCAAACTCGGAGCGAATACAACGACGAAGAAGAAGATGTGGATGATCGCATCGAACAGTTGCTGAACGACGCCAAGCGCTATGTCAATGTCGAAGAGACTGATCCACCCGACTCGAACGCTCAATCGCCTTCCAACTCGGACAATTCGAGTGAGAATATTGCACCGGAATTCACCCCCCAGAACAGTTACCACTTGCGTCTTATTGCGCCTCAAATCCAGCTTCTCAGCGAAAAGAACAGGAAATCGGTCTTGCTCGTGGCCGCCAAAGGCATGGAGCTCAAGGTCGTTTCCATCATGGACAAAGAACGTGTTTCCGATGATGTGAGCGGCTTGGTGCAGCGCCGTTTCTCCTTGGAAATGGATGGTGCCCAATTCTTCGTTGCCACTCAGAAGAACTTGATGACCAACTTGCAGTTCTACGCTGGCAACAAGTATGGAAATGCACCGGGATCAGCGTGGCCCCCGTGGTTGACACTTGAAGCCATGTTCGATTTCGAGTTGAATCCATTTGGATTCTCTCGTATCGTGCAGAAGACATCTGCTACCTTGCGCTACGACAAGTACAACAATCTGCGCCTCAAGTATAACGAAGAGGTTGCCAAGGGACAAGGGCCACACACTGATGATCAAGAAGATCGGATCGACACGATCAGCGTGGACTTCCCTCATTTCCGTGCGATTTGCGATTCTGCAGAGTATTATTCCATGTACATCATTGTGCTGGATCTCATGCTCTACAGCGAGCCACTTGAGAAGGTCCGGAACGAGCGCCTCGAGAGGATCATGCTCACTTCCGACTTCAGTGATCTTCGCGGTGCCCCCGAGATGGTCTTCAAGCTTCAAGCACGCATTCGTCAATTGGAAGAGATCAAGGAATATTTCCAGATCAATGCCAAGTTCCTGGACAAACAGGGCTGGGAAGATCGGTTGACTCTCGAACGCGACCTATCTGAATGCGAGGACGAGCTGTTCTTCATGATGAAGGCAATAACCACTTCTCAACGGCGGATGGAACCGAGCTCCTCTAGGGCAAATGGCGTCAATGGCGTCCTGCGTTGGAGCATATCCGCCAGTGAAGTCGTGTGGCACCTGATGAAGGAGGCTACCGAGCCGTTGATTGAGTTCCAGCTGCGAAATGCCACGTATGAACGAACTGACAATACCGATGGCTCGAACCACAATTTGGTTGCCATCGAGCGCCTATTCGGATTGAACTTGCTTCCCGATGCTATCTATCCCCAGATTATTGCACCGTATCTCGATGGAGCTCGCACCTTGGATGACTTCATGCTGCGCGTTAAATGGCACATGCTTGAGGCTGTGGCTGGTATTCCCGTGGTTGATAACTTTGAAGTGGCATTGTTCCCGCTGAAGGTTCAGCTCGAACGTGAGCTTGGTCAGAGAGTCTTTGAATACATCTTCCCTAATGTGGGCTCTACTGCCTTTGAGAATGGTGGCTTCTCGCCTTTCATGATCAAGAATATGAAGCCGGTTGATGGGTCTGATGAGGAAGATGATGACGAGGCTTCCAGCGGAACGCCTCTCACTCGCTCGACCAGTATCGATGGAGCGGATACTTCGTCTATGGACAGCCTCGCCATTTCCAAGGGACCTGGCGCTATCGAGCTGAGACTTCAGCCTACGCTCTCACTTTCGGATGAGGCTAAGTCGCGCGGTCATCGCTCCGATCATGTTAAGGGTCTTGCAATGACACCAATTAACAAAGACAACAATCGACTTGGTGTATCTGACACTGCGCGCCAAAATGGCCGTCCTTCGACCACTGGTGGTCTCAGCAAGAAGAAATCTGCCGACAGCATTCGCATGTTGACGAAGCAGGCCACGGAAAGATCTCTGTCGTCTCACAGTGCTGGCGAAGAAAATCGCAAGAAGTTCGGAATAGGCAAGGGATCCAACAAGAATGGCAAGTCTAAGGAGCCCACCGACGACCTGTCCCAGATGATCTCCCGCGCCTCCAATTACATGACCCTTGCCCATGTCAAGGTCAACGATGTGGTTCTCTGCATGAGCTACAAGGGCAAAGGCGAACACAATCTCGAGGATCTGCATGATTTTGTCTTCCGCCTTCCAGTCCTCGAATACAGTAACAAGACATGGTCGAATCTGGATCTGGCCCTGCGTCTAAAGAAGGATGTCATCAAGGCTCTCATCTCGCACGCCCCTGCTATTCTTGGAAACAAGTTCTCTCATCACCGCCCCTCCAAGCAGCAACAAAAGCGTTTCCGAGAACAAGCGTCTTCTTCTCAACTCTTGCCGAATGCGTCTAGCATTATGAACCAGTCCAATAGCAGAGCCCATAGCCTGGCGAGCTATGACTCCAACAGCGAATACTCTGAGTCACGGTCGCGGAAGTCTATGCAATCCAATGCTTCCCCGTTGGCTAGATCTATATCATTGAGTTCAGACACTCGTGATACGCAGGATACTGAGACTCCTATCCATGACTCCCGTTCAGCCAATGAAGTGGATGTGGATTCTCGCTGGGAGGTTCGTACACCTTTCGTCCTGTTTGATATTAAAGAGCACACTTGCATACTAACACATACTTCTATAGGCATCGCGTCGATTTGTTAACCCTCCCCCTCCAGAGAGGCCCATGACCTCAGGTCACTTGTCTGTAACCGGATCCAACAAGAATGATCAGGATGATAGGTACGATCTCCAAATCCTTCCATTGCTCCTAAAACCACGAAACTAACAATCCCAACAGCAACATCAAAACACTCCGCAGCATCGGCCGAAAATTGACTTTCCGAAAGTGAATGCCCCAGTCGCGCTGAACAATCACTGCAAACCTCCTTCTTTTCTTCCTTCCTACTTTGCCTAATCCTCTACGCCCTTTTAAAATCCCATCAGCAATCCTACTTTGTACAACACCAACCACCACCTTATTTTCTCCAGGCCCCTCGTGTCTCACTTAGATACCCCTCTACTGCAGCAGGCCGTACATAGGCGTTGATTCATGTTTCTATATGTTTTTTTTTTAAATTTCGGTGTGTGTATGGCGGGGGAAGTTTTCGTTTTCTTTTTTCTCTTTTTGATTACCCGGACTGTTCGAAGACACTTGCATAGAGGCGATAGGGGTCATTTCTTTCTTTTTATATTTAACCTTTTTTTAAAGATAACTTATCTGTTCAACACTTTTTAACTTTGCTAGGCCTAAACGGGCTGCTCTTGATAGTTCATATGATATCTTTGGCCGTCGGGTCTTTTCTGAAACTGATATCGAAATCTATCAATTCTTGTGACCTTTTTTGGATGTATACAATAGCCCGAACATACAGGTGTTACTCGCAGAATCAACCTTAAGACCAACAACTTCAGCCACTAATAATGGATATCGATATACCACACATGACAAAACCATCGCTAAGTTAGCTCTTGGGAATAAAACTTATATAACAGAAAAAGTAACTCCACCATCGTGAAACAAATAACACATCACAACTCATACAGAGACATCCGACCCAGCCACACCAAGCCTATTTATACGCTCAGTCTTCTCATCAAGAGTGGCACGCAACATCTTAATATAATCAGCCGCAATCTCCATAACGTCAGCCTTCGTCTGCTCCGCAGACGGTGCCTTTTCCTTTTTCTTCGTAGAACTCGAATTAGAAATAGCAGTCAAGGCCAGCCCCAACGCTTTATTTCTTTCATCGACAAATTCCGCCGGAATGAGAGCTTCCATCTCTTTGATTGCGGCATTGAACTTGTCTCGACGGTTCCGTTCGGCCAGCCTGTGGTACGTACGTTTTTGGTTGAGATTATCTCTTGTTACTTGGATGGGGTATTTGACGCCTGGGGGTAATGTGCCGTCTTGGATGTGTTGGTAGTTTGATTTTGTTGCGAGGTTGTGGTTGTGGGTTGAGAGATCGGGGGAAGTTGCTATTCATAAGGTCAATAAGAAAGGTTATGTATACGGATTGTTAATGGCTAACTTACCATTCTGCTGGTTGAGAAATGGGATAACAGGACTGACCTTGGGTCGCAAATCTAGGGTAGCCGTTGGGTGCCAGTTGCGTCGCTTCCAGGTCGTAGTGGAATTCTTGCGTGCAATTGCCCCTTTGGGAATTGGTGAAGCTGGACATGGTGACGCGAGGCTGGGTTGACTTGGACTGGGCGCTAAGCTGAATGGTGGCTTTCCGGTGGAGATGGATGAGCTTGGCGCCACTTTCTTTGTCGTGGAGCTGTGAGCGTAGGGCTCTGTGGGATGGGGAGATGCAGTCAATCCCTGTGGGTTGCTGTTGTGCTTGGGCTCTACAGAGTCTTGGCTAACAGGCGATGCAGTACTTTGCGCCTGGATCGATTGGAAAGTGTGCGTGGGCGCCATTGGGGTTGGTTGGGAATCTTTGGAATTCTCGTTTGGTAGATGCCAACTATCTCCAGTACTTTCCATGCCAGCTAGCGTAGAAGAGGAAACCTAGTCGGTGTATTAGTGTGATGTTAAGCAAGCGCCAAGTGATGTTTGAAATACCTCATTTACCGAATTCCATAGGTAAGGACACCCGTCTTTCTCATCCCAGTGAAAATCCATGAAATCATTTTCGTTGCCATTGATCGTGGAAGAGCTCTTTGACTGTGTTCTCAGAGAAGGATCGGTGCCCCAGAATACTGGGGTTGAGGGAAGACTCGTTGGAGTGGACGAGGCAGAGTCGACATCAAGTTGACCCTGGATAATATCTACTACTGACAGATTGCAGTCTGGCATTTGTTTATACGATTGAACCATGTCAGCGAACTCATTTTCGACCGAAGCCGAAACCATGGCATGCCGATCGAATTCCGACATCAAATCCGAACAATTGTTTCGCCAAAGGGGTAGGTAGAAGTGAGTGCCTAGGAAGAAAGGCGATTGCAAACGCAAAGTGATGGGAAAGCGAGAGGTGGTAGAGAGTATTACAGGAGAGTGAAATGGTACAAATTAAAACAAAAACTCTCACCAATGGTGGTCACGCGAGCTTATACTGCTTATATATGGCGCGATCGGAGGAAGTCATGGCCTTACGAATCTTTGATAGGTCGTCGGAAGCGAAGCTATAGTGGCCATGATAGCTTTACGTATGTGCATACATTGGAAACATCAGTTGCCCCGCAGAATAACTGTGGATTGACATGCTTTACGACCAAGTAGCTCGAACCGTGGAACACTAAGAATTAGCCTCGAGGCGATATGTCCCAAAGTTACAGGGATTGTCTGGAACTATCGCGTAGGAGTCTAGAACGGGGACAGACTTTGCAGATAATGTCTCCATTTCTGCATACAATATAACCCGGTTATATGTAGGGACCGGCAATCAAAACGCAGATAAAGGCCGGTGCTGCAGTATGTAGTGGTATAGAGACTCCTGAATAATATAGGCTAAATTCCGGCGTGTCGTCGTGATCCACAGTCAATTTTGTTATTTTCTCCCGCTTATACCCGAGGTATGTCACTTGTCTGGACTCATTGGTTCATTTGTTGCGCTAGAATTAGAGTACTTCACCTGTGGAAACATTGCTTTTACATGCACAGTTCCTGTAAGTAACATACGATAAATGCCCCGAAAGGAGGGTGCGGGGTTTCCGTACGCGGGAAGAATGAAATTAATTAATGCAGCAAATTCCCTCGCGTCCTTAGCCCGGATACAGAAGGTGATCGCGATTGTTAGAACGACAGATTTTCCTTAGCGCCCGAGTAGATGGCACAGTGGCGCGCCTGCGCAGCCCGCCGACTGTTGTAAGCACGCAAACCGTCAGTCGGAAATTCCGCGGAAATTGGGAGAGACCAAATACGTACATATTCGGGTACTTGAACCCTTAAAATCCACCGCTCAGGCCCTTGGATGGTACATAAATTGAGTTTATGCTTATTCGGATCTTTCCCTCCCGTGTGCTCGGATACATAGATCTTATCTTGGCTATTTCCAGGCTACCATATAACTCTGGTGTAACGTCCACGGATTCTCACTTTATTTTCCAACACCGTTGACCTATTCAAGAAACGGCCCCTTCCCGACCCACGGTAGACTAAAGCCAAGTACCGTCCCCACCTCGCCCCCGCCCATCTAGTGCTTATCCAACTGCCAATAATTTTGTCTAGATGACACTCGTGCTAGTCTGGAGTGTGGATGTTAATGTGACAGACCTCAAGCCGAGTCGATCACCTTACAAAGTGAGTCTGCTGACTGTCTCTCGTAACAAAAACGCAACATGTATACGCCACCTATCGTTACTCCGTACTTTCTGGCGCTTCGTGTCCAATTTTCGCCAAGGCACTGGGAAGATTAAGCCACCTGAAACAGACTCCGATTGGCACAGCTTCTTTGGAAGATCTCCGGTGTATCGAAAGCGATGCGTGAAAAACTTTTCTTTTCTAAAACTCGTTCTAGAACAAGGCATGTAATTTGGATGCGTATTGGTAGATACCTAACCCTATATAGTTAGTAATGAGCACAATAGAAACAGCATGAATCATGACAATCGTGGTTATCCTGAACACTGTGAATTCACACGCAAGCATCTAATTTGTATCTGAGCTTTAGTTCCTGGATCCCACGAAGAGGACCGGCAAGTGCGATTTTTGCTTCTATTACACAAATCCCCATAGTGTCTGTCAATCCCAATTTCAATTCCGCTGCGACTTCACCTCCCTGATACCGCAATCTTCTCAAGGGAAATGGCAGATCCAAATCTATGGCTTAACCTGATCATTTCATTTGCTCTGGTGTTAATTGGAGGAGCATTTTCAGGCTTGACGATTGCATTGATGACCCAAGATGAAGTCCATCTCCAAGTCCTCGCAGTCTCTGGTGAAATATCCGATCAAAAAAATGCCAGCAAGGTCCTCGCTCTCTTGAAACAAGGGAAACATTGGATTCTCGTGGCTCTACTCCTGGGTAATACAATTACAAATGAGGCTTTACCCGTCGTGTTAGGTGAAATCCTTGGTGGAGGGTTAGTAGCGGTAGTGGGTAGTACCGTGCTGATCGTGATATTCGGCGAAATCATACCGCAATCTATTTGTGCCCGCCACGCACTCAGAGTCGGTGCTTGGATGGTATCATGTGTCTCAATTTTCATGTATATTATCTCTCCAATCGCGTGGCCTATTGCAAAGTTACTCGACATCCTCGTTGGACACAACCACGGCACGATATATAAGAAGTCGGAACTGATGGCCCTCTTTTCTTTTCACAAAACATTGGGCAAACTCGAAGACCGACTCAACTCGGATGAAGTTAAGATCGTTCATGGCGCTCTTGGGATGAAGGAGAGATCTGCAGCTTGCATTATGACGCCCATCAAAGATGTCTTCTCTCTGTCCGCCGACGCCGTCTTGGACAAGTACACCATGGACCGGATTCACGTCCAGGGATACTCCCGGATCCCTGTGCATGCTCCTGACAACCGAGGGAATATTGTCGGTTTATTCCTCGTGACAGCATTGACCAAGTATAACCCCAAATCTTGCAAACGAGTGCGCGATTTTACTCTGGCTCCGGCTCGGGTGGTACATTCAAGTACGAATTGCTTGAGTATTTTGAATATGTTCCGGCAGGGGGTGTACTATATGGTTCTTGTCTCTGATAGCCGAAAGAATCCAGACCGAGTCGTTGGAATCCTCACCCGAGAGGATGCCGTTGAAGACTTGATCGGAGAAGAAATCTTGGACGAGTATGACGATCTGCAGAAGAATGAGCAGAGAGCGACTCAGCGGAATCGTTTCCCTCTCCATCATGTTCCTTCCCGGAAGGTCATTGAACGGTCTCCTACATATGCAGTCTCAGCTTCGGAAGGGAAACCGATCAATTTGGAAGCAGGGGAAACTGCCGTCTTTCACAAATTCGGCTCTGTGGATCGGTTCAGTGCTGCGGATCAATGGAGGTCTATTCAGCATGTGATCTCTATATCTGAAGTACCCGTAGAGAGTTGAGCCCTGTACCAAGTCAACACGATAACAGCTTGCCAGTCGGCACAGCGCACACCCTTGGGCTCTCGACGTCCCGAATCCCACAAAGAGAGCCTCGAAGGCTCGTTACCTGCTTGACAAAGCACTCGCACTTCTCTAACCAATTTGGAGGAGCTTCACTCAGCCAGTGCATCAGTGTCACGCACCAGGCTGCGAAGAAACTCGCATGGATGTCAGAATCACACCCAAGCATCCACTCAACATGGTGCACAGCACAAAGTCAAAGCGAGAGATCTCCAACGCCAACGCCAATGCTAAAGACCAAACGGGGGTCAAAGCGGAGAGAGATTAGCCTGAAACAGGTTTCCTGCGCCATGGGGGTCAAAGATCAACTAGCGTGTGGATCAAGTTAATATGCTTAATCCTAGCTGCATGTTAGAAAGCCACAGAGATATCATCACTGTTAATAATGTTCGAAAACACCCACACTATCCAGTGGCAATCTCAATGCTTCCCGCACCCCTCCCTCCCTATTCTCCTCCTTAGAAATTGAAACCTTCGCTTGCTGGTATATACCAGCATGATTGCTTCCCTCTTCAGGTCTACCGACCTCCTCTGGTTGAATCGGATACACCAGAGTGTCATCTCATGGAAAACAAAATGTTAAGACAAGTTATCCTGAGACAAAGACTATCGAATGCCTGCAAAAACTGTCAGCAGAGCCGGACAAAAGTATGTCCAACCGTCCATCCATAGGGATATCAAGAATCAAGCTTACTCTTGGTGTCCGCAACAATAGTGCAGTGGCGAGAACTCGTGTTCAGCATGCGAAAACCGCAACATTGTCTGTTTGTACGACAAATGCTCCGACAAACGACGCAAAATCCACATAAGAAAGACTGAACAATCTCTCAGCTACTACAGTAGTTCCGATAAACGATGTCACCACCTACACTCTTCCATTGTTTCTCGAACCCTGATGCCAAGAAACACTAAACTATTTTTGTAAGAAGCCATGTCAGCCTCATAGGTTTTGGTGATGTACCGTTAATTACCAGAATATTATAATAGCGGGGAATGTGCTTATTACCTGTCGGCTCGCGAACCAAATTCAGAATGAGATATTCAATCTCCAGATTTGAATATACTGTACCCGTCTCACATCTATGTAACAATTGCCTGATTCATTCCTCGGTGTCACTTTCCTTCATGCCTCGCCTCTGGGGAAGTATCGCATAGCATGCGTAATCTTGCCCTTCACCGTATACCAAATCGATCAATTATAGCCGTCCACATTTTCAGATACCACTTCAATAACATCACCATCATCTATACCTATCTGTAAATAGTATGAGCAACTAGTCAACGAAAGAAGGGGGAAAAGCATTCCGTTACCTCGCTTGGAGTCTGATGACTTTTTATTCTGTCACCTTCGTAGAAGAAGCGATGCGTGGCCAAGTCCTTTCCCTGTCGCTCGGCGTATTCTTTCATAAGTCTCCCAAGCGGAGTAAAGTGCCCAAGTTTCATAAAAGCTTCTCCACCCTCTTGGTCTACAACCTTGAGGTTGAGATGCTCCACGATATTCTTCTCCTCGAGCATTTTCGAGATGCGCGGAAAGCAGACTAGCAGGAACGCAGATTCGTAAGTAGGACATTTTACAAAAATTTGAGACAACGCACCTCTTTTACGTTCACCACGAATTAAGGCAGAAAATGACTTCGAGAAGCTGTGTTGTTGACGTAATTGATGGAGCGCGTAGGGGTCGTAGGGGTAAGAATAGGATTGGAAAGTGAGGACATTTCACTCTTTTATCTGCGGGTGGGGCCGGACAGTGTGGTCATATGAGTACTTGAAACAATCCCCGTACACGAAAATGACATGTACAGTAACAGCCCGTCAGCTTCACCGCATCTTGCGGAGTAAAATAGGCCCTCGTAAAATTGTATCTTTCCGATCATTGAGTAAGTCATATCATTTTCGTGTACTGTACAGGGGCTTCGTGAATGAACTTTTCGAAGCAATCCAGATTTCCGGAGATGCTGATATTCAACAAATTATCATTGCTATACGGTCAGGATCCTCGACCACTGATGTTCATCGTGTAGTAACTCACCTTCTTGTGGTGAACAATTTCTTTAGGCCACTATCTGTGATTCCGAGCAACACAGCGATGCTGTCACAGGTTAAGGCAAAGAGTTGTCGTGTGGGCAATCGCGATCAACCTCGCATAATTTACCGTGATGATCATTATGCCGAAAATACCTAAATACTTCAGTTGCCGGTTTATTTGCTCTCTGTTCGAAGGCTACAGAAACACAGTCATTCCCAATAGACAGGCAACTACAGATGAGACCCGGCAACATGAGCAGCCGAGAAGAGAATGAGAGAATAATAGCAGTCAAAGCCGTAAGATTACACATCAAATGCAGCTTTAAGGGTGACTTTAATTCCACTTTGAGCGAAAATTACGCTACAACAACTCACAAAAGTGCTAAGAAAAGTGGATAAAGGGGCAAGAAGTAGCGCGTACTGACAAGGTCAGGGGAATACTGTATTTTACGATGGTTGACCGCAGGTACCTGCGATAACCCACATGTATCGAAATCAAGTACGTACCTTTTTGCAAGGGATTTACGTAGAACGTCACCTATACGTATCGATTACTTGGCGCTATATCTTGACCTGCGGCGAAATTAAATGGCAACTGTGCCTCTATTGAAGCCGCCTTGCGGACCTATAGGTGGCGGCTTTGGCATCTCTGTCCAACCGGGACTATAAGCTAGGGTGCGATTCCAATCCACTAGCTTGTTAGCTTGGCCACGGCAAGCGCCTCGTCGTGTAAGCTAAAGGCTGCTCTACCCGAAAGACCTTGTTGGCCCGCATGGCCAGCAAGTGCGGCGAGAGATATGGCGGTGATGACGTGGCTATACGCAGATCAGTGTAGTGGGGATAGCTTAGCGAGTGATCTACAAGCTATTTGCTGGGCATTGTTCGTAAAAGGTAGCTTGGATGGAAGCGAGGAGACTGAGTGTGTGCTGAATACGCTTGCTTCACAAATTTGGGAACACTTTGCGGCAGCCTTCGCGACACAGCCAGATATCTCAAGGCTCCAAAAGGTGGGTCCATTCACCAATTGGTGGTCGCGCTCTTTTTTGACGGAGATCGGCGGCGTAAGAAGAATTCTTATGCCGTGAGTACGGGCTACAGTAGAGGATCAATATTTAGGGTCTATCCAAAAGGCTGTTGGCCCAACCCTGGGTTAGCGCTCTACAATGTAAGCGCACAGGCAGGTGTGAGAAGGAAGGACAAAATGTGCAAGCGGGAAGGACGCGGGCGATCATGTCAGAACGTCGAACTTCCATGCAATTCTAAGTGACTTCATGGGCGATACGATATTATGACGATAGCTCACGGCCAATAGTACAGCAATTATTACGGTGCTGCCAATCGACTGGTGAAATAAAGTGGGTTTAGCACGTTCCGGATCTGGTTTTCCGGGAATGTGTTTACATAACTTCGATGGTTTGTGATCGGCAGCAGCATAAGTCGCTTTTCGTTAGATAGATCTGCACATTTACGTCTGCCTGAGAATCTGTGCATATAACAACAGAGTCTGGGCGGCCTGTGATGCTATCACTGGAGGCATACGTTTTTCAAATTCCTGTTTCTACTCTCCAATTTTGGTATTTATGTAATCGAGTGAAGATCAACACGCCCATTCCCCACTATCCTACTTACCTTCATACGTGGTGCGTTCTACGGTGTGGAGAATCACGCGGTTCGCACGCGCTAGCGCTTTGGTGATAGGCCAGAAAGAGTGGGAAAGAGTGTATTGGGCAGGCCGATTCCGAGAACGACCGTACCCTTTACGCTCCAGGGTGACAAGGGCATCCGGGCGCCGCAGCTCCGGTGCTGGACTTTAGGTTGGAACCATGGATCAATGGTTCCCTACACGCCGCCGAGCTGATTGGGATCCTTACTCCATCAACATCATCAATGAGATCGCTCTCCGGCACTGGAGAACATCCCACAAGGGGGTGAAATCGGCCGCTGCTCTCGGCGACAGCCTGTCAGCACTGCAAACCATCCATAATCCAGGAACTAGACAGATCATCCATGCCATTCTACAAGCGGCCATGAACACCAAGACCCCATGACACCACGATTTCGCTTACAATGGATACCCGGGACCTTGCGAAGCGCCCGGAAACAAGGCAGCAGATCGGTTGGCCAGAGAGGCAGCTGTGCCTGGAAAATGACATCGCCTCTTTGACAGTGGACCAACTTCAAACACCTGTGCAAAACGTCAAGGCCGGCCAATCGTTCTCGCAGAAACTGAGGATGAGGTCTGAGATCCGAGGTTTAATTGTTCGACATGGAATGCCCGCTTTTTGGATCACAACCAATCTTTCTGACTTAGTTATCCCCTCGTTCTAACTCTGGCTGGTGTGGAATTCCCGATAGGTAATCTCGGCGCAACAAATGCCGCGATCTGTGACCACAACAGCCGCTGCTGTATCATCCACATCGGGATACCAAGTGTTCAAGTACCCAAAACTGAAGCCCCCCGGTTCTAGTTTGGGATTGTATACCATCAGCGGTCCAGAACTTGATCGCTGTCAGACATGGGCGGTCGCGCCACATTTTTGAGAGCCTTCCATTAACGTAGATTAACCTCTGCAGTCGTAATTATTTTACATATGTATTTCAGCGACAAGGGGAATTCCAAAAAGCTAATTACTACTCAAAGATGCAATCGATTTTAAGAATCTCCCGGGTCCTAAGAGGGAAGCAGGCATGAAGAGTGCTAAGCCGATAAGCCCGCGACGCCCGCCCCGTCGCTCCGTCAGAATTCGAAATCTACGCCAGATACGAGACTGTGATTCAATACTATTGGGAGTTCCAATCTGAAGCAAGAACATCACGTACTGTAGCAAATCAAGCGACGCAAAAAAAATTTGGGCGGTGTCAAGGAGGTCCAGGGTGGATCAGAAACATTTTCACCTTATAAAGTACTACTGTACATGTAGCTAGTTGATGATTGGCGTGTCATATTCGAAATAGCAGATATAACGGCCTTTGAAGATACGTATTCGTTACTGTAACCCACCGCTAGTTTTCAAATACAGTGCTTCCGGAAATCGGTGTCACCACCTACACTCTTTCATTGATTCTCAACCCCTAATGCCAAGCTCCACTAGCCTACATTGAGAATAGTCCACGGAACATCGATGTTTCTGTATTAAGCTTCATACGGTATCTTACTATGCCTAGCGTATAATGTTATGTCTCGTAACTGTATGGCAATGCTTATATTTGGGAACCTAGTGGAATCTCATGGTACATTCCACCAGCATAATAGAGCCCTATAAATCCACTTTTACTCCCAGGCCCTTCTTTTGTAAAGAGATTAGACACGAAATTCTATGAAGGAAACTCGCCCTGATGCGTGTCCTAGGGCAAGAATATTACCATTAGTGGCGGAACACCTAGCCCGAGACTCTGCAGGAAGCCATAGAACCTTTTCGCGGTTTAATGTTATCCACTCCCCTTGCTCGATGAAGATTTCCAGAACACGAGGTGGACCAGAAGTATGATTGTCACACCTAGACTGAACGTCGAGGGAGCCGAAGTTTGTCTTTAAGTATGAACCATCCGATGAGAATGTAAGGGTAGTAATAAATCCTTCGAGACTCCAGGGAGCCTGGTGCAGCGCGCCCGTCACTGGGTCCCAGAGTCGCACGGTCATATCAAGGGAGCCAGACGCTAGTAGCCGGCCGTCGGGTGAGAAGGCCACCGACTCAACCGAACTCGAATGGCCCTCGAGAGCCTGGTGCAGCGCGCCCGTCGCCGGGTCCCAGAGCCGCACAGTGTTATCAAGGGAGCCAGACGCCAGTAGCCGGCCGTCGGGTGAGAAGGCCACCGACCGAACCCAACTCGAATGGCCCTCGAGAACCTGGTGCAACGCGCCCGTCACTGGGTCCCAGAGTCGCACCGTGGTATCAAGGGAGCCAGACGCCAGTAGCCGGCCGTCGGGCGAGAAGGCCACCGACTCAACCCAACCTGCATGGCCCTCGAGAACCTGGTGCAGCGCGCCCGTCGCCGGATCCCAGAGCCGCACGGTCTTATCAAGGGAGCCAGACGCCAGTAGCCGGCCGTCGGGCGAGAAGGCCACCGACCGAACCGAACTCGAATGGCCCTCGAGAACCTGGTGCAGCACGCCCGTCGCCGGGTCCCAGAGCCGCACGGTGTTATCTTCGGAGGCAGACGCCAGTAGCCGGCCGTCGGGTGAGAAGGCCACCGACCCAACCCAATCTGAATGGCCTTCGAGACTCTGTAATTCTGCGCTCCATCTTTCATCAACTTGTGGTAACTGGCTTATCCAATTAGGAAGGTCATCTTTGAACTCCCTACGAATTATTGCCATTCTAGGTGCAAATACTAGCCCAGAGCTATACAGTTGGAGGGGCGCATCATCAGCTATCTGCCGAAATTTCAGAATAAAGCGCTTTGCATCGTAGAGAAAATCATATATTACGGATCGGTCGTCGTGCTATATCGATTAGTGCTAATCATACGTGACTGGACTATCCACGGAACTTACGGTTGTAGCTGCCTGGAGGAGATCAAGAATCGCCACCACTTCCGATATGAGACCTAATAGGCTCATTGCTTCCACCCAGTGTAGGAAATGCTTTTGGAGGAAAAAAAAGGCATCATGTATGAAAATTTCCAACTCTGTGCGTTGCACTAGGTGATGAGCCCAGTATCGACAGGCGTACTGCAATTCTGGGGGAAGGCAGTGGTCGATAATCTGGCGATCAACGTTTGCACGTTCGGTTCCGTCGCTTGGTAGCCCACATACGTTCCGCCTCAAATTTTCGCACACACGAAGACATTGTTTGGCTAATCTCCGATGTATTTCTTTTTCGTCCACCCACAGTGGAGTCTTTTTCCGCGTTTCCGGATCTAGGAGAAAGTCTCGAAATGAAAGATGGAAAAGCCGCACTGGCAAGATATCATCGCTTGGAACACTCAGGACCGAGTGGAGTGGCTTCAACCGAAGACGAACAAGTTCTTGGGAACAACCCAGAAGTCTCGAGAGTGAGATAACTGAGAGTGGGTTCTCTAAGATCACGATTGTACCAACCACGTGATGAAATTCTTGGACTAGTTGCAATTTCTGTTCTTCGCTTTGTGTATTGAGAAGTCGATCAAGAACAGGAAGGTATGTTCCATCTAGCTTAGATCCATTATTTCGATATGTGAGAATCTTAGCGAGACTGTCGACTGGGTCCCAATAAGGGTCCTCAAGTATACGGCATATAGTGGCGGCGAAGATAAACAACGGAATAGACAATGCCACTAGCTTCTGAAGATTCGTGCTTCCAGGCCAGTCGATAGGCAAGGGAGACTCTCGATCTGTCCTGACTTCTGACAGTCGATGATTCAAGAAAAGAGATATATCATGCTCTATCGCTTCCTTACGGATCTCATGGAGAATAAGGTCTTTGTAGTCGTGATCTGCAATATTTTTGAATCCTAGACGGATTGGTGTTTCGGGCCTGCTAGTCAAAAAGAGTCGCAGACGTACAGCCTTTGATTTCTGGAGCTGTGGTAGAAGTTGGAGTATGAGCCGTATGTCCTTGTCTTCGTCACATTCATCCAATGCGTCAATCATTACTACCACGGTCCAGATTGGGGCATTGGATTCTTTTAGGTGTAGGAGTGGTTGAAGGATCAGTTTATCAAACTGCTCCTTTATGCCCTTCATCGCGATGCCTGGATCGTCGTGGACTGCTTTCTGGACACCACTGATCAGCTGGGGAATGCAAAGCGCTAATTGCCTTGCGATTGTCGGAAAGAGCTTCATGGCATTCCCTCGGTCCCCTTCGCCCTTCTTGAAGAAAAAGCTTGCTCCTAGTGACTTGTCTTGGCTAAAAGATTTTGCTGCCGTGCGAGAGATAGTCGATTTCCCTGTTCCAGCCATTCCATTCAACCAAAAGATACACTTTCCCTGCGGAGAAAAAGCCCATTCTCTAATCTGATCGAGAATATCGGTCCTCGTGCCAGGAAGACATTCATCTTCATGTCGAGCTCTGAAAGAGTCAAACTCAGCGCCCTGCGCAAATGGTAATCTATCAAGAAAGAAGTTCCGGTCGATGCGGTCTGCTGTCTCAGCCACATGGTCAATGCGTGGCCCTAGAATATCCGAAATTCGCTCTTCTCTCTCCACCTGTTGAGGGATAATTCGACATAGGAGATCCTTAGCATATGCTGCCGCGACCATTGCTGCATACCCTTGCCATTCTTTGCTCTTGTGGGAATCGGAGTAGTCGCAGATCCCACGGATCACAAGACATGGAAAATGATTCATTAACCCGGCCGCTTCCATTTCAAAGCATAAAACACCCTTTTCTGCGACTACTCTGTTGCGGATCAGAGCATCCTTCATTAGCTGATTAGCTGACGCGATCAAGCCGTAGTGTATGGCCGGGTTGTCTTCATCCTGAGAGCGTGGGTTTCGAAAGACTAATCTGGTTGGTTCGTCACCGCAATCTACAGCGCAAGTTGTTTCATTTCCTGGTGGGTGGATGACGTGACTTCGGTACAGCCGATCGCTCTCAATATCTGGCCGCATATATCTTTTCCGCAGCCTTGGTTTTCTCTCAAGGGCCTCATTGACTGCCTCTTCAAGTCGATGGCCATCTAATTCATATTGCGCTCGTAGTCCATTAACTGCAGCACGGAGGACGGTAGGTGGCTGATCAAGGAAGCCAGTGGGCTGGAAGCTTTGGCCTTGGATCGTTTTGCCGAAGTCGTACTGAATCACGCCACTTTGACCGTTGGAAGGAATGCTGACCACAATATCGCCAAGGCGAATATCGTTTTTTAGACTTGGGGCTCCCCCCCCGATACCGACCATTAAACCGATTCGAATGTTCGGGAAGCTATGCATCATGTCTTCTGCGACCCGTGCTGCTGAAGACGTGCCGTATTCTCCCATGGGTAGGACTGATATCACTATATTATGTTTACCGATTCTGCCCAAGGTGTAGTCGTTTTTGTTCTGAGGCGACAAATACTCCGGACCCTCGTGCTTTTCGTCGAGGAAGGCTTGAGCGGCGACATATTCAGTGTTGATGGCGCATATCCAGCCCACCGTGTAGTTCTTCGGATCAGACATTTCAGAGCCAAGGCGTGTATTGAAATTCGAAATGGGTAGAGTTAAACCGCGAAGGGCTTAAACCTTTGTGATCTTATGGCTTCTTCCTTGAACAGCAGCGGGGACAGACTCCTTCAGCCTCGTCTAGTCACGTGATATTCGTTTGCAGTTGAGAAATACGCACATAACCTCGCCAACAAGCTACGTAGATGTGATCTGAGTGACCACCCCGGGAACCCGGGAATATCTTCTGTTCTCCCGAAGAAATTGTTTTAAGCTGATTTACGGGATGTTAAAACTGCTATGATACAGTAACCGTGCTATATATCCTCAACGGTCAGACCTGCATTCCGGAAGTGTCCCTCTGCGCTTTCCGCCCTTGCACCAACCGTGTCAACACACCATTCGAGGAAGGCTTTGAATCCCTGGTCCGGATTATCTTTGTAAGACTGCCAATTCCGACGAATAAAGGCTTTCAGCTCAGCAAAGAACTCCTCGATCGGATTCAAATCTGGAGAATATGGAGGCAAATACACTAGCTTCACACCCGCGTCTGAACACATCTGCTCGATCCGTTCGGAGTGATGAAAAGATGCGTTATCCATTACTATCACGGATTTTGGTTCTGGCCACTTCCCGCAATGCTTGAGAAGCTGCTCAATAAAATCCTCGAAAACGGATGTATCAGTTGAGCCTCGGAAGACTCGACACAGAACAATACCATCTTGGGCATATGCAGGAAGAATTTGATATCGCTGATCACGATGGAACTTAGACACTTGGACCGGTGTCGTACCGAGAGGAGACCAGCCGGTGCGTCTGAACCCTATCCACTTATCGCACCCAGATTCATCCACGTAAACCAGATGGTATGAGCCAAACTCCGAGATTAGATGACTGTAGTCATCACGCAAATCCGCATTCCGTTCTTTGGCTTTTTGTCGAGCGTTCTTCTTTGACCACCCTTTACGATGCAGGGCGTCGCTGATCGTGGATTTAGGAATAGATACGTCAAATTCATCTAGGAAGAACAGTTCCATCTCAGAAAGGTATGAATCCGGTTTCTCAAGCAGATGGTCACACAAGGCCTCTAATATGACCGGGGTGCTGCTTCGCGGCCGTCCAGCTTTGATGGGAGGAGCTTTGATGGTACGGAAAAGCCGCAGATTGGACCGGATCCTGAGGATTGCGCGTTTGCTGCAGCCAGCAGCTTGAGCCATCTGGGAGGTAGTTAGCTCACCACTGCTGATCATGTCATGGATAAGCTCAAGAGTAGATTTAGCAAGGTTCGGTGCCATGGTTCACTGCGCCACTGTTATGGTCAGTTGTCGAGAAACACATGTGTGGTGGGAACGCTAGTCGTGGGGCATCGAGGTAGCTGCTGTCTTGGTATGACAGGTATTAAACAAAGATCCACCTCATACAATAATCCGGTACTCTACTATACAAGGCCTAGAACCCAAGAGTAATTTAGGACTACGCCAAAAGTAGATTAGCCCTTCTTGGCATCAGGGTTCGAGAAACACTGAAAGAGTGTAGGTGGTGACACCGATTTCCGGAAGTACTGTAACTAATCGACCGGTTTCGCAACGTACTGTATGCAGTAGAAGGGTACTCGATACAAAAAACGGTGGTTGAGTCAACTGCGATATAAAACTAGTGTGTTGTGTACCGAGCGGGAAGGATGGCGGACCCACATACGGGTGCTCCCGAACCCCCTCGCACAACCACGCGAGGTACGACAGCGACCGACGCGTTGGAAAACCTTGATTCGATTAGCGTGCCTCGGACCAGAAGGCAGACTCGGCCTAGCGATAGCCACACCATCGCAGCCCGTCCCGAGACCACGAGCTCCGGAGAAAACAATAGACGCGTCACGACCCGGGAAATCTGCCGACTGATCGACGGCTTAAAAGAAACGATCGCCTACCAAACCGAGCTCATTTAATCCACCAAAAACGAATTGCTAGAAGTAAAGCACGACCAGAACGTCCTCCAAACATAGAACGAGAAACTCCATAAGGAAGTCCGAGCCCTACGGGCGCAAATTAAGGCGCTACCAACCACACCCGGGACAAAATCGTGGGCCGCAGTGGTAGTAGGCCACCCGCCTCTTCAACCAAACCACCAACGCATAGACAATGATCGGAACTACGTCCGAATTAGCACTCAGCGGTCCTTTATAGACCCGAGAGACAACGACACAACAGAACAAAACATATTTCGGCGATATCTCCCAACAGAGGCCGCAAACACCTATATCCAAACGGCACTGTCGAATACGCCGTCCACACAGGACGCCTAAGTAGCCGGGGTTAGAACCACCAAAACAGGATATATCATCCGGTTTAAGGACACAGCGTCGGCAGAAGCGGCCCGCAACAATATGGAATGGCTGCACGAGCTAGGAAACAACACGAAACTAGTCAAGGCGCGGTTCGGCGTCGTGGTACACCGGACCCCGACAGAGGACTTTGACCTAGAAAACGCGAACGCATAGGCGATCGAGAAAATCATGAAAGAGAATAATCTAAACAAGCTAGGACTCCGAATCGAGGAGGTAGCTTGGCTTAAGAAGAAAGACAAGGTGCTAGGGAAGTTTGCCTCCCTCGGCATCTAGTTCGACGCCACAGAAGGGGCCAATCTTATACTAAACAATAGCTTTATCGTTAGCTAGAGATTCATCGGCAGTGTAGAACGCTACGAACTTAAAAGAAAGAGATGCTTCCGGTGCCAACGCTTCGGGCATCTCGCATGGTTATATAAGGAAACGCCTCGATATAGACATTACGCTGGCTAACACGAGCGGGAACGATGTCCCCTGGGCGTGAGAGCCCGTTGCCTCGACTATAGTGGTGAACACCTAACCGGGGACCGCCAGTGCCTAACGCCAGTAACCTCTAACACCTAATATTAGAGACAAACCTACGCATACTATAGTTAAACATCATGAAATCGGGGCCTAGGATAGAAGCGCTTATCAACGACCACTAGAGCCAGGATCTCGACGTACTCCTAATCCAGGAACCATCCATCACCACTTATCAAATATATGTTAATCATAGCGCCTAGCGGCTGTACCGGCCGTCTACCGAGACTAAGGCAAATCGGTTCCGCAGTCTAATCTATGTCAATCGGAAAGTCTTAACCTCTTCCTATCGATAGATCGCCTACAACTACCTAGACGTTATAGCAATCAAGATCTAGATAGCCGACTCCTAACTCCTACTCTTTTTAGTTTACCTTTTATGCGTTCCGCTATTCACGCCGAGCGAGGCGTCGGCGGAACTAGCACTCACAGCAATCCAGAACACAATTATATCTAACACTTAGGAAAATCAAAGGACAACAAGCGTCATTTTGTTAGGTGATTTCAACCGCCATCACCCAATATAGGGCGGCAACCATATCTAACCGCGATTTATCAAAGACGCAAGCGAATTGATCAACTTCTTTCAAATGCATAGCCTACATAGCTGTCTACCACGGGGGACAGCGACATTTTAGCCTTTCAACGACCTAGGGAAAAGCACCACTATCGACTAGACGGTAACGAACCGCCCGGACCTACTCGTTAGGTGCCATCTCTACCACAAAAACTATAGATCGGACCACCGTGCAACGTACTCCGAATGGAATCTCGGAGCCTAGCGCCAACCCGTCACTACGGCGAAAAAAGCCTACGACCGTGCAGACTAGTGCAAGATCGCCGAAGACGTACGCCGACAACTAGGCCCATAGAAGGAGGTGAAAACGAGGCCGGCGCTAGACGAGATAGTCGAAAAGCTCACAGAGGCGACTACCATAGCGGTGGATAGATACACTCCCGACTTACGACCAACACCATACTCTAAACGCTAGTTCACCCTAACCCTCAAAATATAGCAGACCGAGGTCAACCAGCTACGCCGGACGTGGCAAGAGAGCTGTGCGGAACTCGGGCGACACGACGCCCGCTCCATAGCCTTTTTTTAAGAGATACAATAGAAACGACGAATCTAGACTCGGACTATCGAGAAGGTCAAAGCATCACACTAGAAACAATTCCTAGATAAAGCCAGGGAAGGGAAGCTCTAGAAAGCAGCTACCTACATAAAACCACGAGAAGCCTAGGGGCGCGTACCGGTCTTGCACGTCGGCACCGACGAGCTTATAGAGAATAAGGACAAAGCGCAGGCCTTCCTAGACGCTTTCTTCCCGCAGATAGACGAACCTCACGAGGACCTATCCTCCCAGGCACCCCTAGCACTCCCTTAGCAACCTATCACTAAGCTTAAGATTCAACGATCTCTCAAAGCCGCAAAAGGATCTACCGCACCTAGTGAAGACGGCCTGCCGATACTAGTGTAGAAATAGCTATAGATACACCTCAAGGTCTATATCACGGGCATTTTCACCGCGTTAGTTAACCTAGGATACCACCCAAAGCGATGGCGGAGCGCGAAGATTGTGGTGCTATAGAAACCCAAGAAACTAGATTACTCGGTCCCTAGGGCCTATCGCCCAATCTCACTACTTAACATATTAGGCAAACTCCTCGAAGCGGTAATAGCGCGACGACTATCGTATCTCGCCGAAAAACACGGTCTGCTACCAGACACCTAGTTTAGAGGACGACCAGGCAGAACCACCGAATAGGCCCTTTTAATCCTCTCTAACGCGATTGACCGGGCGTGGAACTAACACAAAGTGGTGACCCTAGTGGCGTTCGACTTAAAAGGTGCCTTTAATAGAGTTAACAAAGTGAGCCTAGACGCCAGTCTACGGGCAAGAAGAATACCAACCATAGCGAGAAAATAGATCGCGAGTTTCATGAGCGATCGCCACGCTAGCATAGGATTTAATAACTTCCGCACCGAGCCCACACTACTAGCGAACGCGGGACTAGCATAGGGCTCACCTCTCTCCCCTATCTTGTTCGCATTCTTTAACTCCGACCTAGTCGACCAACCTATCAACTCCCACGAAGGCGCATCGGCCTTTATCGATGACTACTTCCGCTAGCGAGTAGGACGCTCAGCCGAAGAGAACCTAGCTAAAATACAATCGTAAGACATTCCCCGCATTGAGGCATAGGCCCGTCGGACTAGGTCTTACTTTGCAGCCGAGAAAACCGAACTAATTTATATCACTAGGATAAGACGCGAATAGCTTTAGGGCCAAGTGGTTATAAACAGGAAGACAATTAAACTATCACCCACGGCCAAGCTGCTAGGGGTGGTGTTCGACTAGGAGCTTCGCTAGAAGGAACATATCTAGCAAGCGATCAAACGCGTAACCAAGGTCAGTATAGCTCTGGCCGGGCTACGGCACTTACGCCTAGAACAGATGCGACAGCTATTTCAAGCCTACGTAACGCCGGTCATAGACTACGCGTCGACAGTCTGGCACGACCCTTTGCGAGACAAGACCCACCTACGACACTTAAACACGGTCTAGAGAACCACATTGATCTATATCCTATCAGCTTTCAGGACAGTGGCCACCACGACTCTAGAGATAGAAGCACATATTTTGCCAACACGCCTCCGCCTCCGCCACCGAGCGTAGAACACTATTACAAACCTTCACACTCTACCGCGTGACCATCCTATTTAGGATACACTATAGCGAGCCCAGAAACGTAGGAACAATGTCGGGTCGTACGCTCGTTTCCCACTAGCGGAAGCCCTAAAGACCATGAATCTAGAAAGACTAGATAAACTAGAGACGATCGACCCACGACCGCTACTACCATGGCGAACTAAGTCCTTCACGGAGATCGAGATCGGGTTAGACCGAGAGACGGCAAGAGAACAGGCAGAGACCGTAGGGTCCACATCCGCCATCGTGGTCTACTCTGATGCCTCAGGACGTGAAGGCCACCTAGGCGCTACTGTCGTTACACTCGACAAGAACCTAGAGGTCATCGAATCCCAGCAGGTCTAGGTGGGACCGATAGACCGGTGGTCGGTTCACGTAGCAGAGCTGATAGGCATTTTCTACGCTGTCAGTACAGTGTTCAAGATCAGCCATCAGCGGCCAAGAATAGAATATAATAGAACAATAACGGTAACGATCCTCTGCGACAGTAAGTCAGCATTACAGGCGATTAAGAACCTAGGAAACAAGTTAGGACAACGTATCATCCACGCGATCCTCTAGGCGGCCGCAGAGGTCCAAGCAAAGGGAATCGCGCTTCGTCTCTAATAGATACCCGGACACTACGACGATCTAGGGAACGACGCAGCAGACCGGTTGGCTAAAGACGCGGCAAGCCCGGGCAAAACACACCCCTTCCGCCCTCTGCTAACAAGGAAGAGAGCGCTCATCCGGGATAATATCCGCGCTCAATAGGAGCGGGAATAGAAAGCATCAACCAAAGGCGGTCACCTACGAAAAATTGATAGCACCCTACCGGCGGCCTACACCAGGAAGCTGTATAGGAATTTGCCTAGGGGCCGGGCGTACCTACTAACATAGCTACGCATAGGCCATAATTGGCTATCCACCTATACCAAGACCTTCAGCTTCCGCGACAATGACTAGTGCGTGTGCGGCGCGCAAGAAACAGTCACCTATGTGCTAGTGGACTGCCCAAATCTGAAGGAAATTCGACGGACTTTAAGGAATGAAGCTAGGGACGCGTTTAACAGCGTATCGAGTCTGCTAGGAGGCTCAACTAAAGGTGAGAGAGGTAAGCCAGACATCGTGTCGCGGGCTAGGACGGTCAAAGCCGTACTAGATTTCGCTAAGGCGTCACAAAGATTCAAAAGCCGCGCGCCATGAGGGCAGCCTAATAACTTGAACGGCACCTAGGCCACGATAGGCCTTGACGAGGCTCTAAGTTCGTTTTCAGGAAGTGGGACATTACACATGTACATACAAGGATATCTATAGTTGCTGTATCCTGTATATCGCCAAAAGCGAGAGGTCAGGGTAAATGAAATCATCCATCCATCCATACTGTAACTAATCTCTCCCAACCTACCACACTCGCGTTCACCAGCATCTTCAATTCGCCCTCGTCCCCCGATTGCTCGAACAGTTTGCTCTGATTGATTAGCATTGACTCAAAGGGCTTGGCGGTCCAAGGCTTACGCGTAGTAGCTTCTCCGGTGAATTGCATCTCTTTAGCTCGTCAGGCAGACCCTCTACTTCGGCACTCCATAGGTATTGCGAAGGATTCTTCATGATCAGTCTCTCTACCACCTCGGCCAAAGCAAAGAGCTTCATTGTGGCTGCGTCTATCTCGGCTGCATCGATCTAGCAACTTTGCTCCACTCCCGCTGCCACATTGCTAATAGTCAGAATCTTATGCTTACGTGGTCCGCCAGTATGCTTAGATATCTACTCACCGATCCTGACACCACCGAACTCCGTGAGTAACAAGGTATCAGCACTTAGGGCGGCAAGTGCTCTCCCCTAGCCGCGCAGATATTGAATTCCTTCGAGGACCTATCGGGCATAAGCACCGTTTATTTTTGCATATCGACCCTTGAGAGTAGTACGTACCGGCCGAACAATTGCAGCAATCTCACCCTTAGTGATAGTGCACCTTGATGCGAGGATGTGACTCACCGAGAGCTCTACTAGCTCCCGGACCAGAAATATCTACTCCTCCCAACAATAGCACGCTACTAGGCTTAGAAAGCTGGGGTGAGAGAAACGGCTGATTGTTTCTAGCATTAGCTTGACGGATAAGAATTGCTGCCTTAGAAGATGAATATTGACGAGTGTCGCTTTGTTTTTCCTATGTCGGGCCAGAAAGATAGACTATCCTTGAAAGATCACCACGATCGCCTCGTACGTCAACCATAGGTTTTGGAAGACCGGCTCAATTGTATAAGCTGTAATTTGATCTTTCTGCAGCACTAGGCGCGGAAGGGATAGAGTAGACGGGGTTATCGCTAGATCGGGCTAGGGCGTAGAAGATAGCGCAGAAGGATGAGATGTTCTTTCTAAAGTCGCCTAATCGGGCGTCCCGTCACGTCACAGCTCTAGAGGTTGAAAGGGCTGGCGCTGGATTGAATCCATCTTGTAAGGAATGTGTCGAGAAGGCAGACTTGGTTCTAAAGTATCTAAGCAACGTCGTATTACTCAATGCTACATTGAGCAGCGGAAATATTATATCCAGAGACGTTAAGGTAATCACTATGTTTATAATGAGGTCGCAGAGATGGAAGGTTACTAGTGACTCCCTACAGAGCAAGCTTAACACTGACCTTACGAGCCGGGCATGGCTGTTTGTGTATACGGTTGTCCAATCTCCTTGGTGGTCAAGCGTTCAAAGTTACGGTTAGCCATAGATCACCGCGGTGGAACCGGCCCTAAAATGGCCCAACCATGTCTAATCATGCACTACCCTAAACTCCAACCGTTTTAATGTTATGCATCCTTAGTGGGAATTAAAAAAGACTACTTTTTATCTTAGGGATGGTGCTAAACGCGGTCTACGTTACCTCAGGATGAAACAAGCGTTAGATTGAACGGTTTCGTGTATTCATCACTCAGGTCTCGTCTATCTAAAGCCCATACCTAGGGTCGGAAGCGATCGGGAACCCATCTTGATCGAGGCGATCGACGAATACGAGATGGGCTTGAGAACTAAAGACGGTCTAAACAGCGGGTAGGTGGGGTTAACCGACGCTATAGAGGTGCTGTTAGAACACTCGTTTCTTCTACTAGTGTGTATGTGGCATTGAGAGGTGTTTCTGTTGTCGACTCGGCAGTAGTATTTTTAACGGCGGATAAGCGTAAGAGAGAACTAAACGATCCATGGCATCGACTGTATCTGTATTAGTGAATGAATCGGGTAACAGAGGGTGATAGGATACGTACTGTGGCGGGCAAGAGGTGTTATTTCCTAGTAATCGATAGGTGAGCCATCCCTCTATACACCCCAAATGGACCACCCGTTTATATATATCGCATTGTAACATAGCACATTCATCGTTATCTCCCTTAAGGCAAATTGAACACTTCTTACCATCTAGACAGCGCTCTTTACCGACGGCGTGAATATAAAGGTAGTGTAGTCCACCGTATTTATTGTGGATGGATAGAATGGCTAGATCATCCGATGAAACATTCCAGGGCACCCGATCCATTGTGAGCATGTCTAGTGTGACATCTCGACCAGGGGGCCGGGCCTCTAGCCATGTGGAGGCTGGAAGCCTTAAGAAAGCCTCGTCAACACCCTATAATGGAGCAAGCTCATCTGATTCCAAGACTGTGCCGGCTGATACCTGTTAGGGTACGTCGATTTCTACCCCGGTAATTTGCGGAAATCGATGGCGCGGGGAGACTTATGCATCGGCCTGATTACGAACGGCCGCATCGAACCATTGCTGTTTGATATCATCGTGCTGACGTACTCGATGCCACTTTTTGCAGAGGAAGAAGGATACAAGGTCGCTAAGCTAGGAGTCAAGTGTAGAAAGATTGAATAGGCTTCGTGCAAGGTTGTCTAACTTGTGCCGACCTTCTTTTAGGGTCTCTTTCTTCACAATCAACTAGTAAGGGTCTCCTTTCTTGGTAATGCTATAGCACATCTTATTTTCCCTAAGGGGCCCTATCTGATAGATAGTCAAGGGGTCCCAAAGCCACTGGGAGTCTGATATCTTGAGCGTAGTACGTGGGTGAGAGGCGAGGAATATATCAAGGCGGTGGTGGCGACTAAAAGACAAACTGCTAAAGAGTCATCTAAGCATTTATAGTAATCCTTCTCTGTTACTAGAATTTGTTACGCATAAGGTTGTGTAGTGACATAGGTGGCAATAATCAAAAGTCCTTGGCTCGTAGGGCAGATGTTTGAGCTCCCAGAAGTACTCAGTCTCCTAGGACCTAAATATGTGTTCCTAGAAACCGGATAGGTGCTCCTAGGAACGGCATGGGTATTCCTAGGAGCTTAGGGACTCCCAGGAACCTATACGTGAGTCCTAGGAACCAGAATTCCGTTCCTAGGCAGCTAGCAGCCTTTAGCCGTTAGTAAAAGCGCACACCTATTAGCTACATGAATGCTTACACAACATTGGTCTCTATCATCTAGGTCGGTAAAACGTCCTTAGGTAACCTCGGGTTCCTAGGAACAAGTACCGCTTTCCTAGGAGACATGAAAGGCGTTTAGCACGTGCAACGTAGAAGCTCCGATTGTAGAGATGAACACTGAAAGCCGTTAGAGCTCTTTAGTCTCACTAGACGCTTAGACCGTCCGGTCGAACGAGAGTTCCACTAAGCATTTTATTAATATAAAAGATGTGTCCTCGAAGATCTACGAGCCTCCTCACTTACTCTGTTTTTAAATCTTTCTTCTCTTTGGTGTGCGTTGTACCTACTTTATATCCTCTTGTCTGTCCACTAATATGGATTGGAGCTCTGACTATCTTTAGTCAAGCCTCGGCCAAATTATTGGCGATCCCACTCACCGTTTAGGGTGCCGATAGGTTGACGATAATAGAGTCTATTGCCAAAATCCCGTGTCTAAGGATTCACGGATAAATAGAGCGATATGCCTCAAGATGTTCTAAGATCTCCCTACCGGTCACCTACCTAAAACGAGACTCTTAGAGGCTACAAGGTACATGCTATGTCCAGAATGTAGGCGTCATTCCTCACGACCTAGAAAGTGCGCCTAAAGATGGATGGATCGGTTATATGCCCAAGCTAGTCAAATAGAGGAAACCACTCAAACCTAGAAGGATGGGCACTGGTCCGTTTCGCTAGCATAACACTAGCCAACTAGTCTCTCCTACGAAATCGGCAAAACGGGTACATTTCGACGCCTAGATCGTGACGATCGGTTCTTATGGACCGCAAGGAGGTGACGGCAACCTTTCGATGAGGAACACAAACACACTCTCGATGCAACCTAAGAGCCAGCTGGTCGCTCCGTGAGATCTTGGAGATCACACAAAAATTTCATTACAACCATCTTGCCTATAAATACATTATTTCCTAGCTAGCGGCCCTAGCCATAAACTAAATCAAAACATGAAATGATCCTCTTTGCTAACCCGTATCTAGCTTTTTTAGTCCCGGATCCCTGCTTCACACTAAGGGCGGCCCGGTTTGCTGGCTTATTGAGGAGCAGCCACTTCACCTTCTTATTACTAGCCCTTTACTATATTTGATTTAGTATTGATATAAGAAGAGAATGTTCATATTAGACTGCATACCGAGCTCATGGCTGTCTGGATACGTCTTCTATCTCTGGAACTCCTTAGATAGTAACTCTGGCGATGGAGCTGCCGATCGTCGAATGCGGTCCCATTCAAATGCAGCTTCAAGGGAATTAGAAGTAGATTCAGCACGGGGTAGCGAGTTGGCGATGCTAGACCGGGAAAGATCGTCTCCTAGAATATATTGAAGCTTCCGCGTCATTTTCTGGGCATGACAGAAAATCAGTTGAGTTTCTATAATCAGAACAAACTGAAATGTAAATGTGACTGTCTTAAGGGAAGAAGTGTTATAAACCGAATTAAGGAGATGACAGCATATATATATGCCAACGTAGAGACAAACCTATTTTAAGTACCATAGCAAACTGAATCTAATATATACATATAATGATGACCGTTCTACACGAATAAGCTATAAACAATCTTGGTCACTCCGCACATAGAGACCAATGTACATGATCAAGAGACGATGCCCGGTGAACCATCGTTAAGCTATGACTTAGCTGCACTGTTCCGCAGCCTTCTCGCTGCCACTTTCCGAGTCACCACCGGAATTCTCACCGCTATTGCCTAACTCCTATGATTCCAATTGCTTCAATAGCACATTAAGTATTACCTTTGTTGACTCCGGCTCTTGGCCGGATTGGTTAGCACCGCGCTCCTTCAGCTAATGATCCACCACGCCTCCTAGTTTCTGGCTGAGTTCAAAGAAGATATCCGCTAGTCTGGATATATGCTCTAACTCCTTAGTCGCCTACTTCTCGGTAGCCTTGGAAGCGCTTAGTTCCTGTTCAAGTTTAGACTAGGCTCGTTCTGCCCGGACTGCTCGAATGTCGAGCCTCGCGAGAATTCAGAGATATTCCTATCTTAGAATTAGACGCGGCTTTAGAAAGGGGTTGATTTGCCTACCGAGGAATCCATTCTGTCAAGTATAAGATAGGTACTGAGTAACTAGCGGATAGGCTTGACGTAAGCAGTAGGAAGCTTGTTCGAGCAACTAAGGATATTGTGCATGTATTTATAGCTCTACATTAGTAGTCAGCCTCTAGGTAGAGAATTGGACTTCTAATAGACTCACTTCTTACGGGCCATAAACGGTCCGTTTGAGCTCTCTTGACCGTATACGGTTAACCGGCCCAATTTTGAAACGACTGCGAGAGCCCGAGAACATTTGTGTAATGCACAACCTAACCCAGTGCCTTATGTACTGCCACTAGGGATCATATTAAACCTTCTCGTGCTCTTCCGACCTAAAGCCTGCGTATGTATTGTATCAAACCACGTCTCGGCTTGAACGAAAACGGCGAAGATCGGAATAGTAAATCGTAGTTATCTGTCGTCCAATGCGTGGAGTCTATGGCTCTAGTCCTCTATCCCACAAGACGATTTCCCGGTGAATTAGATAACCTAATCTCTCAGAGTTCATCAGTGGAGCACAAGCAAATAGGCATGGGAAATGGGTTCATAGCACAAGGGCATTCTAACTATGAACCAGTTAGAGCAAGCGTACCGTCAATTGAGATCTGCTTTTAGCAAGGTCAAGATTAGAGGACCGTAGTGGACGGTGCCGTTGCAAGCATAGTGATCTGGTTGATAGGAGTAATTGTTAACCGTCGACCTTAGGCAGGGACTAAGATGATATTCAAACCGAATCATACCATATATTCATTGACTAGGACAAACTTCTATATGCAAGCTAGGCTAACAGTATCCCTTGTTAACAGCGAGCGAGTACTGCCAGATGGAGATGAAGGGAACCGCGGCATTTGAGATGATAGAAAGAAGTCTAAACCCGTTAGGGAAGCTCAACTAGGCTAGTGCCGTGTGTGACATACTTAACGCGTGCCAGAGGTCGAGACCGAGCCGAATCGCGTACTTTGGCTTATGACTTCTAATAACGGGATAACGGAAATTATGCGACAAGGATACGCGATAGTAGCATAATACTCGATATCTGGTTGTGTGGCTGCACTATTGAGTCGCGATCGACCGGAGGGTGGGGTAGTCTTTGAGAATCCACGAATCGGCGCCCCCGAATTATCTCCGCTAATCGCCTAGAGCCTAGTCTTTTTACGAACATGGATCTGCGAATGGTCCACTACTGTTGCCGCAAATTACTTACAGCGCGTATCATACTGTAGATTGGAGATCATTGATGGACAGCTTAATATACCATTATGAAAAAGTAACCTAGGAGAGGTGATCTAGAAATGAATAAATATATCATTACCTACCGGTTCCTGCTCGGAAGATATGCGCTATTATGATACAGTTTTTCGAGCAATTAGCGGCGACAAGTACGACCCAAAGTATACCGTCCCTGGAACATATATGAATAGGTCTATGTCCCAAACTCAACTTAGAGAATTGACTACTACTCTGTTGATGTTTCAAATGGACTTTTACTTCCGCGCGGCTCAACTTGCCCCGAGACCGCTAACGGAATAGTCCGCCAATGAGACATAGGATAGAAGATTAAAGATGTAAGCAATAAGACAAGGTAGATGAGTAACATACGCGGGTAGCGAGAGCCGGTACTTGGCGAAATTGCATGGGCCTAGCAAAGCTTAGGCCGTATAAATGAGCCCGGGGTCAATTTTCGAGGATTATGTCTATTGAGGATGCGTACTTCGTCCCGAAAATGTTCAACGCCTAACCGCAGAATCCAACGTGACGGAACGCGATCACCATTGAGGTACCTACCGGTTAAGTGATAGTTAAGTGATGGTTAACAGTCCCCGGAGAGCGTGAAATAAAGAAGCGAACGGTCGATCTTCGCCCTCAAATGTAACCATATCGTGAAATTACAGGATAACCGTTATTGCGGGCCGTTTGTCTTAACATAGACCAATAACTAGGCATTCGAACGGTGAACCTCACAATCCCGCGGCATATATTGAACGGCTGTGTGCTAGCTCATTCCGAACTGT